GTTATGTTAACAGTAAATTAACAACTTATTAACAGTAATTATACCAGAATATAACAGTAATATAACAGTAAATATACAGTTAATATAACAGTAATATAAAAATAATATAATCAGTAATTATAAGCCGTAATATAACAGTAATATAACATATAAACAACTTAATATAGACAGTAATATAACAGTAATGTAACAGTAATAATAACAGTGAATATAAACCTAATATAACATAATCAACAGTAATATAACAACTTTATATAACAGTAATATAACAACTTAAATATCACAGTAATATAACAGTAATATAACAGTAAATATAAGCAGTAATATAACAGTAAAATACAAGTAATATAACAACTTAATATAACAGTAATATAACAGTAATGTATCAGTAATGTAACAGGTAATGTAACAAGTAATATAACAGTAATATAACAGTAATTAACAGTAAAATAACAGTAATAATAACATTAATATAACAGTAATATAACATATATAAACAGTAATATAACAGTAATATAACAGTAATAATAACAGTAATATAACAGTAATATAACAGTAATATAACAGTATATAACAGTAATATAACAGTAATATAACAGTAATATAACAGTAATATAGCAGTAATATAACAGTAATATAACAGTAATATAACATAATATAACAGTAATATAACAGTAATATAACAGTATATAACAGTAATATAACAGTAATATAACAGTAATATAACAGTAATATAACACTTAATATAACAGTAATAGAACCGTAATTAACGAGAATATAACAGTAATGTAACAGTAATTTAACAGTAATATAACAGTAATATAACAGTAATGATAACAGTAATGTAACAGTAGATAGAACAGTAATATAACCGTAATATAACAGTAATATAACAGTAATATAACAGTAATATAACAGTAATATAACAGTAATATAACAGTAATGTAACAGTAATATAACTGTAATAAACAGTAATATAACAGTAATATAACCGTAATAAACAGTAATATAACAGTAATATAACAGTAATATAACAGTAATAATAACAGTAATATAACAGTAATGATACAGTAATATAACAGTAATATAACAGTAATATAACAGTAATATAACAGTAATATAACAGTAATATAACACTTAATATAACAGTAATATAACAGTAATATAACAGTAATATAACAGTAATATAACAGTAATAGAACAGTAATATAACAGTAATATAACAGTAATATACAGTAATAAAACAGTAATATAACAGTAATATAACAGTAATATAACAGTATATAACATAATATACAGTAATATAACAGTAATATAACAGTAATGTAACAGTAATATAACAGTAATATAACAGTAATATAACAGTAATATAACAGTAATTTAACAGTAATATAACAGTAATATACACTTAATATAACAGTAATATAACTGTAATATAACAGTAATATAACAGTAATATACAGTAATATAACAGTAATATAACAGTAATATAACAGTAATATAACACGTAATATAACAGTAATATAACAGTAATATAACAGTAATATAACAGTAATATAACAGTAATAAACAGTAATATTAACAGTATATAACAGTAATATAACAGTAATATAACAGTATAATTAACAGTAATATAACAGTAATATAACAACTTAATATAACAGTAATATAACAGTAATATAACATAATATAACAGTAATAGAACAGTAATTATACAGTAATATAACAGTAATAAAACAGTAATATAACAGTAATATAACAGTAATATAACAGTAATATAAACAGTAATATAACAGTATATTACAGTAATATAACAGTAATATAACAGTAATATAACAGTAATATAACAGTAATATAACAGTAATATAACAGTAATATAACAGTAATATAACAGTAATATAACAGTAATATAACAGTAATATAACAGTAATATAACAGTAATATAACAGTAATATAACAGTAATATAACAGTAATATAACAGTAATATAACAGTAATAGTAACAGTATTATAACAGTAATATAACAGTAATATAACAGTAATGTAATATAACAGTAATATAACAGTAATATAACAGTAATATAACAGTAATATAACAGTAATATAACAGTAATATAACAGTAATATAACAGTAATATAACAGTAATATAACAGTAATATAACAGTAATATAACAGTAATATAACAGTAATATAACAGAATTAACAGTAATATAACAGTAATATAACAGTAATATAACAGTAATATAACAGTAATATAACAGTAATATAACAGTAATATAACAGTAATATAACAGTAATATAACAGTAATATAACAGTAATATAACAGTAATATAACAGTAATATAACAGTAATATAACAGTAATATAACAGTAATATAACAGTAATATAACAGTAATATAACAGTAATATAACAGACAGTAATATAACAGTAATATAACAGTAATATAACAGTAATATAACAGTAATATAACAGTAATATAACAGTAATATAACAGTAATATAACAGTAATATAACAGTAATATAACAGTAATATAACAGTAATATAACAGTAATATAACAGTAATATAACAGTAATATAACAGTAATATAACAGTAATATAACAGTAATATAACATAATATAACAGTAATATAACAGTAATATAACAGATAATATAACAGTAATATAACAGTAATATAACAGTAATATAACAGTAATATAACAGTAATATAACAGTAATATAACAGTAATATAACAGTAATATAACAGTAATATAACAGTAATATAACAGTAATATAACAGTAATATAACAGTAATATACAGAATATAACAGTAATATAACAGTAATAGAACAGTAAATATAAACATAATTATAACAGTAATATAACTGTAATATAACAGTAATATAACAGTAATATAACATAATATAACAGTAATATAACAGTAATATAACAGTAATATAACAGTAATATAACAGTAATATAACAGTAATATAACAGTAATATAACAGTAATATAACAGTAATATAACAGTAATATAACAGTAATATAACAGTAATATAACAGTAATATAACAGTATATAACAGTAATATAACAGTAAATATAACAGTAATATAACAGTAATATAACTGTAATATAACAGTAATATAGACAGTAATATAACAGTATAAACTAGAAAAAATACATAATAAATAACAGTCAATATAAACATTAATAATAACAGTAATGTAACAGTAAATATACCAGTAATCTAACATAATAATGACAGTAATGTAACACAGTAATATAACATTACTATAACAGTAATATAACAGTATATAAAGTAATATAACAGTAATATAGACAGTAATATAACAGTAATATAACAGTTATGTAACATAATAACAAGTAAATATAACAGTACTATAACAGTAAAATAACATGTAAATAGTATCAGTAATATAACAGTATTAATAACAGTAAATAACAGTAATAAAACAGTACTAAACAGTAATATAACATAAAGGGAACAGTAATAAACTGTATTATAACATAATAAAACAGTAATATAACAGTAATGTAACATAATATATCAGTAAGGGTAACAGTAATAAAACTGTAATAAAACATTAATATATAACAGTAATAAACAGTAATATAAACAGTAATATTACAGTATGTAACAGAATATTACATAATATCACGTATATATAACAGTAAATATAACCTGTAATATAACAGTAATATAACATATATAACAGAAATATAACAGTAATATAACAGTAATATAACAGAATATAACAGTAATATAACAGTAATATAACAGTAATAGAACAGTAATATACAGTAATATAACAGTAATATAACAGTAATATAACAGTAATATAACAGTCATATAACAGTAATATAACATAATCAAACAGTAAATAACAGTAATAATAACAGTAATATAACAGTAATATAACAGTAATATAACAGTAATTATAAAAAAATAACAAATTAAAAAAATAAAATATAACAGTAATATAACATAAAAAACATAATATAACATATTAAACAGTAATAGAACATTATATAACAGTAATATAACAGTAATATAACTGTAATATAACAGATAAATCACAGTAATAATAACAGTAATAAACAGTAATGTAACCAGTAATATAACAGTAATGTAACATAATATAACTGTAATATACATCATATAACATTAATAATACACAGTAATATTACAGTAATGAAACAGTAATAATAACAGTAATATAACATAATAAAACAGTAAAATAAAATAAAAAAAAAAAAATAAGCAGTAATAGACAGTAATAAACTGTACTATAACTATAATATAACATTCAAATAACAGTAATCATAACAGTAAATATTAAAGTAATATAACAGTAATATAACAGTAATATAACAGTAATATAACAGTAATATACAGTAATATAACCGTAATATAACAGTAATAAAACATATATAACAGTAATATAACAGAAATATAACAGTAATATAACAGTAATATAACAGTAATAAACCGTAATATATATTTGGGACTGATTTTTTGGCACCTCTTAAACAGAATGGATGATCTCCTCCTATTGTGACAGACTAATAGCATACTTATACTAAAACTTAATGATCTGTGATTAGCATGTCAATGTGGTGCATCAATGTAATTAAGCTGTGCTATTTAAACTTTCCTACTTTAACAGATACCCATAAGGGTTATACTCGGCTTTAGAATCAATGTCACTTGCTACCAAGCAATTGTGCACTGTCACTTGCTACCAAACATTTGTGCACTGTCACTTGCTACCAAGCAATTGTGCACTGTCACTTGCTACCAAACATTTGTGTACTTAAGATTGTGATTTTACTTCCAACTCCGCACTAGTGGATCTCTTAATAAATTTAAAACAATGGATAAGCTGGTAAGATGGTTAAATATGTGATTAATCAAATAATAAAGCAACAAATTAGTTAATTAATTCGGAAATTAATTAATTATTTAATTAATTGGTTAATGACGGTGTTGTTTCAGCTGATGTTACCCAAGCTACCAAGATACAAAGACCTCACTCGGTTGATATCTACGCATTTGGTATTTTGTGTTTGGAGATTCTCTGCGATCTCAGTGAGTAGATTATCTTCTAGTCAGAGATATTATTTACATGACAAGAAAACAGTAGTCAAATGTTTTATAATTAGTTTTCAGATCTACCCATAACACATAAATCACTATATACTTTTAAATCTCCCATAGTTACCTCTACATATGTGTTGTTAAGGTAGTAGGATCCTATCTCCTGCTCAGTGTGTCAATCTTCATTCGTGTCATTAGCCTCCATACATTAACCCCCCCCCCCCCCCTCTCTCTCTCTCTCTCCCCCAACTTGACTAAGTCTTATCACTACAATCCCGTGTACAATATACTTACCATATTATTATACTAGCAAGTCTTTAGCCTACCCAAAATGAAGAACTAGCGATCTGATTAACATTGCGCTACCTTACTAACAAGTATGTAGCTAGCCTGTAGCTACTGTTACCTTGCTAGGGGCTTGTATACACTCTGATTTATACTTCTAACGAGACTTCTATATAGTTGTACAGGAGCATGTATAGGTGCAGTACTATACACTAAATTTACTGAATTTACCCTTGTAACATTCTTCATCATCATTACTTCTATATTTCTATAGTCAAAATCTCCTGATCGCACCGCTTGGTAAATGAATTCATCAGTTAATTAACTAATCAGCACATTCCCCGCCAGGTGAGCACAAGATAACCCAAGAGTCGCCAGTAACCACACTAGACGATGTAAAGCAAGCCATAGCTAGTCTTGAGCCACACCAGCAAGACTTGATAAACCTATGTATGGAATATGATGGCAGTAAGAGACCTGACGCTGCCTACCTTCTCAAACTTAATATCTTACACGAGGTGACCTATTCTCACCTCATATTTAAAGTTTTTCGACTTTTATTTTGAAGTTTCTGGTGAATATGCATTTTTATGGGAGGATTTTGCGACTCGATGTTCTTATTTTATGAAAATGAAACTTCAGATACCAGATTTGCGGATAATGTGTGTGAACATGTTGCTACACGCTGATGATGTGAACTACAGAGATGTGGAAGAGAGTGCTGGTCGTCAACAACACTTTTCAGTCGACAACAAACCTTGCTCGGCATTCACTCCTCAACATCTAGATATTGAGAAAATAGAGCGAGAGATAAAGTAAGAATAATGTGTTCTATTGATTTACTTTGAATTATTTGGTAAAATATCAGTTGGTCCCGAAATCATAAGAGAACTGATTGCTAAGTAATAACTCCTGAATCGTACTAAAATCTAGATTTGTTGCTGCGCCCTAGATGTATGCAAGAGCTGCAAAATCAGTTACGTAAAGCTAAAATTAGAAAGTTTTGGAATCGTGCTGCAGTAAGACGCGATGTCATTTTGTGTGGTTACGTACGCGCTGAAAACGCAATTAATATCATGTCAGATCACGCGCGCGTGGTTCATTGTGTAGCGCGCGCTGCACTGAGCTGCATCATTGCAGCTATAACATGTATAATGATTAATGCTATATAGATGAGCGCATACAGGCAGCAGGACGACCATAAAGTTATAGGCTTCCACCGATGGTATTGCCCTTCTGTATCCTTCTGGCTTCTACAGATGAGTGAATTTGTTATCAGTCATTTATTTCTCATTTCAGGAACGGGTTTCACTCTATCCCCGAAGTTGGTGTAATTGGGAAAATCAGCCCCATTCGTTTCAAGACTTTGTCTCCTGATACCAAGTAAGTTTTCTGAACACCGTTCAATTTGTTGTATATTTGGAAACTTAAACATGTGATATTTTGTAAAAATTTCTTTGCCGACTGGTGGCACATAACAGTCGGATATCATCCCTTGCTAGTTGCTACTTAATAAGGTTAACAAATAACATCGACAAGATGTTGCCCCTAATTCTGCATGTCCAACATATAAACTAACTGCAACAAGATGTTGCCCCTAATTCTGCATGTCCAACATATAAACTAACTGCAACAAAAGATTGCCCCTAATTCTGCATGTCCAACATATAAACTAACTGCAACAAAAGATTGCCCCTAATTCTGCATGTCCAACATATAAACTAACTGCAACAAAAGATTGCCCCTAATTCTGCATGTCCAACATATAAACTAACTGCAACAAAAGATTGCCCCTAATTCTGCATGTCCAACATATAAACTAACTGCAACAAGATGTTGCCCCTAATTCTGCATGTCCAACATATAAACTAACTACAACAAAAGATTGCCCCTAATTCTGCATGTCCAACATATAAACTAACTGCAACAAAAGATTGCCCCTAATTCTGCATGTCCAACATATAAACTAACTGCAACAAAAGATTGCCCCTAATTCTGCATGTCCAACATATAAACTAACTGCAACAAGATGTTGCCCCTAATTCTGCATGTCCAACATATAAACTAACTGCAACAAAAGATTGCCCCTAATTCTGCATGTCCAACATATAAACTAACTGCAACAAGATGTTGCCCCTAATTCTGCATGTCCAACATATAAACTAACTGCAACAAAAGATTGCCCCTCAGAGAAGTGTCCCATGAAGATGACCAGGAGGAGATTGAAAGCGGAAACAGAACCGGAACTGAGGAAACCAGACTGGTTAGTTCTATTGTGATTATTTAATGATCATTATTAGTTATATAATTATTATTATTAGTTGTGTAATTATCAACTTTAACGGACCGTGCACAAACTTGACATTTTACTGTTATTATTCCGTCGCGTTCCACAATGCTGTTCCACTAGGACGACAAATTTCTGACTACTATTCCCGAGTTTTTTGTCACTTCTCTTTCGTTTTAAACCATTCTTCCAACCTCGTGTAGTCTTTTAACACCTCTTGCCGATGAATTTTTGTGTCGCCCACAGACAGAGGAGATTTCGTGCACTTGCAGAAATCGGAACCATAAATTGAAATTTTAGAAATGTATAAAATCAAAAGGTACTAGCAGTCATTACACTACTGACAGTGCTAATACTGCCTCGTTTAGAACTGCTAGTATATATGAAACATTTGATTTGGAGTTGTAGAGGGAGTTATGTGCCTCGCCGGGCTAAAGTAGTGGATAACCTTGCTGTACGGCAAGTTAAACAAGGATCTGAAACTACTAGGTTCCGTACAGACTCAACTCTGCACCCGTGTCAATATGTTCATTATATGCAAGCCTCTTGATTTATAATCACCGAGTCTAGTAATTGTTTAAGAGAGTTCTCTGGCAGTTACGAAACTCGAGAGACTGTGGGATACTGAAGGGAAAGGAAGCAGTTCTAACGAGCTCTTCTCAAACACAAGGATATATCTTGTCAACTTGGCTAGTATATATGAAACATTTGATTTGGAGTTGTAGAGGGAGTTATGTGCCTCGCCGGGCTAAAGTAGTGGATGACCTTGCTGTACGGCAAGTTAAAGAAGGATCTGAAACTACCAGGTTCCGTACAGACTCAACTCTGCACCCGTGTCAATATGTTCATTATATGCAAGCCTCTTGATTTATAATCACCGAGTCTAGTAATTGTTTAAGAGAGTTCTCTGGCAGTTACGAAACTCGAGAGACTGTGGGATACTGAAGGGAAAGGAAGCAGTTCTAACGAGCTCTTCTCAAACATGACCTTGCTGTACGGCAAGTTAAACAAGGATCTGAAACTACTAGGTTCCGTACAGACTCAACTCTGCACCCGTGTCAATATGTTCATTATATGCAAGCCTCTTGATCAAGCAAATCGATGCTAAAAACTGAAATTCTCGCAAAAAATAAAATCGATTTTGTAATCTTGATATCACATGACCATTGCGTAAAATCCAATTAATGCGAACGTGAAAATTACCACATTTCTCAGTATGTAATATTGAAACATCGTAAAAACTGTTAATCACCGCAATTTTGTCTCTAATTTCAAACATGGCTTGCGATCCCAGTAATATCTCCTTGTATGGGTATCACGTGGTTGTCAATATTGAAATACTCCAGTTCTACAGAGGTTATTAGCAAGTTGTGTTGTTAACAATATATATTTGCATTGTTTTTCTTGCGCTCACATCCACATATCGGCTATGTTTCTCAATGTAATGCGACTAATCTGGCCCTCACGTGACGTCACAATTGACCAGGGTGCACTTTCTTAGCTTATATGTGTTTGAGAGTATGAGAGCAGGACAGTACCCAGTGAGCCGGATAGTGCACACGTTTGAATAGAATTATGGGCCGTATTCAATGCGTTTATTTCCAATCTGAGTTAACTACTCGTACACTGATATTGTCGTTGATTTTAGTATTTCTAATTTATTTTAATCGTTATTTAACTGTAACCCGCTTTACTTTTACTTATTATAAGTTTTTAAACATTTTTGACAAAAAGAGTTAAATCCAAATGTTGCAGCTCATCGCCCTTCCATTAAAGTTTTATATCCTATGGCTTAAAATTATCTAAAAGTGCTGAAATGAAAAATTTGATGTAAATTTGTTTGAATTTTTGAATTTTTTAAAATTAGGACCGTCCAAATTAGAAAAAAGGGTTGATTTGCACAAAAGCTTGCAACGAGAACGGTGATCAGTTCACTCGTACGGTGGGTTTAAAGGGACCCACTAGAAACAAATCAAGCTTCGGTAGACTTTCTCAATATGGGCAGTTTAGCGCAATTTTGGCGCTTTTGCGATATCTTAACCCACATATCTCCACTTCTGATGGGAGCTAAGCGCTCATCTTGGGCATTAAAATATTCAGAATCATCACATTCAAGCACGGTTTCAAAGTCTTCAGCTTCAGTTTGTTGAGTTATTAGGTCAGATTTTTAAGTTCTCGCGAGTAGCAATTGATATACTTATTAATTATTATATTATTATTGTTATCTCGGTTTCTCATTAAAGCATGGTTTTAACCATCGCAGTTGTAAGCAATTTATCTTTGCCGCGAATACGAAAGAATACTCACATTAACAGTGAATTTACTTAAATTCGTCAAATCCTGAATGGAAACTTTGGAACTTCATTCATGAGATCATGATGAATAGAAACATTATTATTTATTTGATGAATAAGTTAAAGTTACAACAATCAATTTTGCAAAGCACACCTTTATTTGAGCATTTACATCTCCCGCCACATCTTTTGACAGTTTTTCGTTCTTACCAATGCATAAGTGCGGTGGGGGCATAATCACACTATTGACCTAATACCGCACTTTATCGCACCATCGGCCGTTATTCGTTTTATCAGATTTGTGTGCTTGGTACTGCTGTGTTCAGTGAAGTAAGATCGACATGGTTTTTTATGACGTAACATCAAAAACACTATTAATCCTATTGATAATTAATAAAGAACAAAAGAGGGTAAATCTTGGATCGAAACAGATTGAAATCAAGTCACTTTATTCACGATTAAATGTACATATTATAGTTAGATAATAACATATTAATAAGATGCTTAGCCTAGACACACGATGTATTAGAACTCAATGTTGAAAAGATAAAATGTTGAAATACTTTGCCTCAATTATGCTCTTCGCCAGCTCAACTAGTCCCGGTCATCCTGCCCATCTAGTTGGTAAAACCTCTATAGGGATAATTTTAGAATTATACATTTTGTTATACATAGTGCTTGTACAATGTACATAGTGCTTGTACAATGTACATAGTGCTTGTACAATGTACATAGTGCTTGTACAATGTACATAGTGCTTGTACAATGTACATAGTGCTTGTACAATGTACATAGTGCTTGCACAATGTACATAGTGCTTGTACAATGTACATAGTGCTTGTACAATGTACATAGTGCTTGTACAATGTACATAGTGCTTGTACAATGTACATGCATGTAGTATGGGCTTTTTACAACTTCTCCCAACCAAATGTGCTGTAAATTGTGTATTGTGTGTAGAATTTTCAAATTAGTAATGCTTCAGTTTTTAATTTGGGCTGTTCATTGTTTCCAATCCTAATTTCTGATAAAAATGGATGGTTCATCTACCTAAAGACCTATGTCACTATGTCACAGTTAGCAAGACAAAGAGAAACAAATTCAGTTGTAAAAGAATAATAATAAACGTAATTGTGGAATAATACAACATCCGATTTGATCCTGTATTAGATTTTTATGAGCCAGTCTTCAATTTTATTAGAACACACTCTCAATCGTTAAAACTATGTTCGTTGTTAATTCGAAGCGCATTTCATAGTTCCTTCAAAATGTTGCTTAATAAAGCTTACATTTTCAAAAACATTTTAATTGCTTATCTCAAGGACTAATATTTATACCCGATGACCCACATTTTGGGCCGTTCACAAAAGCGCCGATAGGTATACCCGATTATGTTGTGTTGGGATCCATTGAATGATAACAAAGAAACACATTGAATTCGTAACTGGGTGTATCGTGCCAATCACTGCATTCTTTCTGTTGCTTTGTGTAAAGATATTTCCAACTGTTTTGTAGATATCTTTTCTGACCGTGCTGCTGGCTTTCTTTTGTACAACATTCACACATACAGTTGCCCGATTACATGTTGCCCGGTTACAGGTTGTTCAGTTACATGTTGCCCGATTACAGGTTGCCCGGTTACAGGTTGTCCAGTTACAGGTTGCCCGGTTACAGGTTGCCCGGTTACAGGTTGCCCGGTTACATACAGATTGCCCGGTAACAGGTTGCTCAGTTACAGGTTGCCCGGTTACAGGTTGCATAATACCGTACCTTATAAAACCAGTTCTAACCCTCACACCCCAGCTAGTGCGCCTTCATCAAATACATCAAACATGAGCAAGGAAGATGGCAGTAAAAAGGTAGTACCACCTCCTGTGAAGCCCAACTCTGAAGCTGCTGAAAAAGCAAACCACGCGCAGGATAAGATCTCGTTTGACAGGACAGACAAGGACGCGTATCCCACCTGCGAGAAAATCTGTTTTGACGACTGTAAAGAAGTGCATCCCACCTTCACCAACCTCTTTACAGATGACAAGCAGGAGTTTGTGCAGGTTAAAGAAGTTCTCTCCCACCTGAAGAGGAACGGACTCCGGCCCACTACAGATCTGAGATTTGAGAAATTTATCAGGAGGTTGAGTGTGTTACCAGGGGAACCGGGCCACTCAGGTAACTCTGAAGACAGTGAGATAAAGAAACAAGCGACAGTGAAGGAGTTCGAGAGAGCTAGCAGAAGCTGTCCTGGGCTACTTAACAACGCCCTTAGCTGTAACCTAGCAATACCAGAGTTTAAGGAATTCTGCAATCAGATAAAAGAGATATACGAGGAACTGTTACCAGTTAAAGGAGGAGAGAACGCGCAATACATTCCACAACTTGCACGTGCAAACCCAGACTGCTTCGGTATATCAGTGTGCACTGTAGACGGGCAGAGGTACTCTATAGGGGACGTGAACATCCCCTTCTGTATACAGTCCTGCAGCAAGGCTCTGAACTACGCTATAAACGTTACCGAGCACGGTGAGGAGTATGTGCACCAGTTTCTTGGCAAGGAGCCAAGTGGGTTAGGGTTTAATCAGATAGCACTGGATAAGAACGGACTTCCTCACAACCCCATGATAAACCCCGGAGCTATCAGTTGTTGCAGTGTACTGAGGAAGGACCACAGTCTAGCTGACAGGTACGCTTAATACTTATTAACAATCTAGATTCTAGATGTTTATACTATTGTTTATGCTAATGATTGTGAATATTGAATGTAGTGTAGCTTCAAGCCACATTGGAAACTTGTGTTTACCTGCTCTGTAGGGTACTCGTAATAAAGACTAAAGAGTTTACCAGCTCTTTTTTACACACATAAGTTAATATTGGCAACGATTATTAACCATGTACGCGTACACTATAACCTACACTGCAGGTACGCGTACACTATAACCTACACTGCATGTACGCGTACACTATAACCTACACTGCATGTACGCGTACACTATAACCTACACTGCATGTACGCGTACACCATAACCTACACTGCAGGTACGCGTACACCATAACATACACTGCAGGTACGCGTATACTATAACCTACACTGCAGGTACGAATACACAGAGAAGATGTATAAGAAAATGGCAGGGGGAGAGTTTGTCGGGTTCAGCAATGCCACCTTCCTCTCAGAGAAGGGTGAGGCAGACAGGAACTTTGCTATTGGGTACTACCTCAAGGAAGCGGGGGTGTTTCCCGAGGATTGTAAACTGAAGGAGACCCTGGACCTGTACTTCCAGCTGTGCAGTGTGGAGGCTAGTTGTGACAGTGCTGCTGTTATTAGTGCGACTATCGCTAATGGAGGAGTGTGTCCTACTACTGAACAGGTACTGTGTAAACTATCTAGGGTGTTAAGTCGCATTTTGTCGCATTGCAGCAGATACAAGTGCAAAATCTCCGTGTAAAACCACTTCAGCATTACCAAAATATCCCACTATCTCAGATTTAATCTGAGATAGTGTAGAGACTAGAGATCTGGTAATCTGAGTCAGATTACCAGATCTATAGTCTCTACACGGTCTAACTCGTCACAACCAACCTCCCCAGGTGTGCATCTCACCGGACGCAGTACGGAACACTCTGAGTCTGATGAGCTCGTGTGGGATGTACGACTACTCAGGAGAGTGGACATTTGATGTTGGGCTCCCTGCAAAGTCTGGGGTAGCAGGCTCCATCTTTATTGTTATACCGGGGGTTATGGGGATATGTGTGTGGAGTCCTCCGCTAGATGAGCTAGGCAACAGTTACAAGGGCATTCTCTTTGCTAAGAAGCTGATTGAGAGGTACGCGTTCCACAGCTTTGACGGAGTACTGGGTCACCTGAACAAGATAGACCCGAGACTTCAACAAAACAATGAGAGCCCGGAGATGGAGCTGTGTAACTTGTTGAGTGCAGCTCTGAGCAGTGACCTGGTAGAGCTACACAACCAGATGGGGTTAGGGGTAGACTTCAACTCTACCAACTACGACGAGAGAACAGCCCTGCATCTGGCGGTGTGTGCGGGCAACTTCCAAGTCATCAAGTACCTCATAAAGACATGTGGAGTTGATATTAACCCTGTGGACAGGTGGAACTCTACTCCTCTGGATAACGCGGACAAGGGTCAGTTGCGAGACATTGTCAACTACTTGAAGTTAAATGGAGGGATGAGGGGCTCAGAGGTTCTCCAGTTGAGAGGAAAGGCTGAGAAACCAGCGCTGTGTTAAGGAATCTGGGGTTGATAGGTTGAGTCGTCCCCAGAACTTCGTGTCCTTGATATTTAGCCCTAGAACCTCGTGCCCCAGAACCTTATGCCCCAGAACTTCGTTTCCCTGATATTAAGCCTTAGAACCTCGTTCCCCAGAACTTTGTTACCCAGAACTTCGTGCCCCTAATATTTAGCCCCAGAACTTTGTGCCTCAGAACTCCGTGCACGTGCCCCTGATATTTAGCCCCGGAACTTCGTGCCCCAGAACCTTATGCCCCAGATTTCTAACCCAGTGACGTTGTGTACAATTTTCTGGAGTTGGATGACTGTAACCTCAAAGCTACTAGAGCGAGGGGGTGTGGCTAGAAACTGCAAGTGGAATCCCGGCTATGATTTTAGTGAAAACCAGCTTTGTTTACTGGATTACTCAATAATTTATACATACAATAGTATACAATAATTATATATAATACCTAAATCTGCTAATATAAAACCAATATAACTCCTGGATATGAAAGTAGAATTAAGTACTTCAGCTTAATATATTTTGATTTGAATGGACTATGATGTTAGACAGTATAAAAAACGTTGACAATGCAGGACAGCAAGATACTATGTCATCATAGTTGTTGAGTGCCAATGGATCTACCAAAATAGGTTTCTCATTAGACCAAACAGACAGGCTAGCCGTTTTACTTAGAACGAACTTTGTATCTTTGATATACTTTAACTTTAGAATATAATATAATGTATATATATAATAGAGTAACTCTCAATTATAAACATGAGTAATATTATCAGAGACAAGGGTTGTTGATATAGAATAACATCCTATTAGGTTTTTTGTCTTTCGTGACCAACAGATTAATTTCTCATTTTGCTTCTCATTTTAAAATGAAAATGAATAACTCAGTGAGTTCATTTAGAAAAATTATTTTATTCAAGTGTTTTATTTGATTATTCCATGTCAATGAGAACAAAAAGTATGTAAATTCGCGCCCAATTCCTTAATTGTTAATCCACGCTGCGGCGCCCTGCTGCGCACAAGGCTAGTAGCCACGAAATAGATAATAGCGGCACAAAGGTGCATTTAGCGTTTCGCCACTAAACTAACTAACTAACTAACTAACTAACTAACTAACTAACTAACTAACTAACTAACTAACTAACTCCACTTCCTATGTGAATGCATCCAGCTGATGACAACTAGATTGAGGATATTTGGTAAACCCATCCTAACAATTGAGGAACTCATCAATAGTAAACTCGACCACATTATCAAATTTGTGGAAAAGTCAACAAGGTTTGACAGAGACGATCTATTTGGATAAGCACCTAGGACATACACCAAGGCTCATAAACAATCATACATTAGATCCACACAGGACTATCTCAGATAGTGACACATATCCAGTGGACCATGCTCAGAAGTCCCTCGCCTGCCCGCCGAAGAAGAACATCTGAAGTGGGTTTGCTCTGAGCAAGGTAGTAACAGCTTCGAGACTCCAGAGGTCTGTTGCGTTGATATCTATTATTCTATGCTTTTGTATATACTTAGGGAGTCCTGGAGTGTGGCTAGCAGGAGTCACACTCTGTGGGCACGGCGAGAAGGCCTCCCTCTTCACTAGGAGGCCAGAAACCGTTGACCAAACCAGAGAGAGAGAGAACTAACTAACTAACTCACCAAATAACTAACTAACTAACTAACTCACCAAATAACTAACTAACTAACTAACTAACTAACTAACTAGCTAACTAACTAGCTAACGAACCAACTAACTAACTAACTAACTAACTTACTTACTAACTAACTAACTTACTAACTAACTAACTAACTAACTAACTAACTAACTAACTCACCAAATAACTAACTAACTAACTAACTAACTTACTTACTAACTAACTAACTAACTAACTAACTCACCAAATAACTAACTAACTAACTAACTCACCAAATAACTAACTAACTAACTCGCTAACTAACTAACTAACTAACTAACTAAATAACTAACTAACTCACCAAATAACTAACTAACTAACTAACTCACCAAATAACTAACTAACTAACTCGCTAACTAACTAACTAACTAACTAACTAAATAACTAACTAACTAACTAACTAACTAACTAACTAACTAACTAACTAATCCCAGATCCTGTGTATAAAGTGTCAGCTAAACCCTAGTGCTGTGAGTGGGAATCTGCACCTAAAATTAGAGTTCCAGATGAACGATAACATGGTACGTACAATCTAACTAGCCAGATAACTTACTTATTAACCAACTAGCTAACTTACTTACAATAATAATAATTGTTATCAGTACGAAATTACTATCCATTTATCATCTATTATATAAAGCATTAATTTTTCTAAATGCAGCATGTTATGAAATGAGTTTTACCAGTGAATATAGCATATAGGAAGCTTCAAGAATTGCTTTAAATTCAAATTTTGTCCCAATCTCAGATTTGATATTTATCTGAGATAGAATTAACTAATTAACTAATTAACTAATTAACTAATTAACTAGTTAACTAATTAACTAATTAACTAATTAACAAACACGGTACCCTGTGTCAGGTGCGTATAATGAGTACGGATATAAACGAGCAAGAGGACCCAGGAGCTCTAGTAGACGAGATAATCCAATACGGACTTCTCAACAAACTGGACAGAGACATGGTACTGGAGTCGCTGGAGGAGTGTTTGTCCACGTGATGCGCGTGCTAATTTACAAGTCACGTGATACACATTGCACGTGCTATTTTACAAGTCACGTGATACACATTGCACGTGCTAGTTTACAAGTCACGTGATGCTTGTATCCTCCTCGAGCGTCCTGTGACCTCTCCACAACATGATGTACATAACATAACACTAGATTGTTCCTGTAGCCCTACGGACACTGTGTACATATTAAAGGTCACTGAGGTGCGAGTGTACACTTTACGTTGACCTATCTAATATTCTGAAATTTCTACCATTAGTCGAGCAGAATAGTCTTCTAGGATTTATATAATTGGTTTATGATTGTCAGGACTGATTTAGTCTCGCTATTGCCGCCCGGGCTCATTAAGTTTAACACACTCGCACGAGGAAGCTAACATAAGCTTTATAATAAATACTGGCTTACTGGTCGGCTATCAATAGCTAAGATTATTTGGTTAGTTATTTGTACGATAAATTGATGCAATTTTTGTTAAGATATTAAATCCCGTGAAATATACACAATATCTGTATATTATCCTAGTTTTTATTGTTGAATCAAACGTTTAACGAGGGCCCTGTTGACCGCATTTCAAGCCTTTGGTTCAACTTGACCTCGTTTTAGAGGACAAATTAAAGATAAACATGAATACTGTGGCCGGAGTGTCATCTCTTTTTGCTCCATGATACCAACCCGATAAAGGCTTAGGGCTATGTTAACATCTCAAGATTTTATCTTCTTACTTATAATCTATAACATTATTATCTCCGACTTTATCAATAATCATCACCAAGCACCATCGTTTAATTTGAAAAGGTATGATATGAATAGCCCTGTTATTTTATATGAAACGTTCGTGAAAGGATATTATGTTATTGTTAATGACATTCTATTGTTATTGGATTCGAACCCCAAACCCATCGCTCAACATGTGTATACTGTATTATTAAAAATATTAAAGAACGTAGTATTATAGGCAACCGCAAAGTGTATTATAATTAAATCATGTGATTATTCTTACTTGTTTTGTTCACCTTTATCTGTTGTTAAACTTTATTTATTCCTCATTTTGTACCAAAATAAGACTGTTTAAATTGTTAGGACGCACGGTTACATTCTAAAAAGTGTCGCGCTTTATAATTATAGAAGGAATAAATGTGGTGGAAAAGTAAGAATTTCCATCTCCTTGATCCAATGATTCGCCATTAAATTAGTCTATTTGAAGCATTTTTCACCATTCAAAAGCGATCTTATCAAACGTTCTCGGCAGCGTGTATAGTTGTAGGTTTATAACCTACTACCAAGACGCGCACCGAGTTGGACTCGTCGACGAGTCCAAAAAATATTTTACGAGTATCACCCGTTGACGTGTGTAGACTGTAGTGGTACCAGGTACTAGTAGTAGTACTAGTAGATAAAAATATAAATTGTTATACGTTGTATATAACCCGACGAGCCCCCCCCCCCCCCCCCCCCTGTATCGTAGAAACGGTACAGGGGAAATAAAAACTGTTTCCACTAACCACTTAGTAAAACGACAATGGGGGTCACGACGTGATACAAAATATAAAGTGGTCAAGGACTTGAATTTTCCATTGTTAATGGACTAACCCGGCGCGCGCTACATCGTGGCAGTGGCACTAATTGTTGACCATTGTTAATGATCTGGCCCGGCGCGCGCTAACATTTCGAGAAGAAAGCGGCGCGCGCTACTTCGAAGAAATTTAGACGAGTAACATCCGTCAAGCGGAATCGAATAGAGATTCAGTGGAATGACAGAATGAGCGCCGCCTCGATTCACGATGTCAATCCTGATCCTTCGCATGATCTCACCGATATGCATAAGGATTGAGACATAATTCCAACAAGACACACGCCAAAGACGCACAGTTTACAGAGTGATGTCAACAATTAATTTAAACACACTGATGTCATTATAATTTAGCTCGTCATACGTTGTATGACCCGCCGCGCACGAAGTATCGTCCCCCTATAGTGAAGCGACAGTGGGGGTCACCACGTGATACAAAATTTAGCATGACCGGTGATAGTCTGGAAAGAAAAACACAAATATAAATAAATTACTAAACAAGGAGTATACTTTTACAGGATTGACTTTGACCATTGTTAATGATCTGGCCCGGCGCGCGCTACTTCGTAGCTCGTGCCATCGAGAAGAAAGCGGCGCGCGCTACTTCGAAGAAATTTAGACGAGTAACATCCGTCAAGATTGATTTCGAAAATACTAATAGTTCTATTAACTCTCGGGCAGACTTTCGAGAAGGTTGCGAGAAGCATTAGTGGATGCGCGGCCCAGTAGTCCATCGCGCTACAAATGGGAACCCCCACAGGAAAAGAATAAGACTTGACTTATTAAGAACGACAATAATTGCTCTTTGAGGAGAAAGAGGGATAAAAAGCGGTAGTAAAGTTAAGATATCAGATTTAGATATTAATTTAGAGCCAACAAATTGAATTAGCTACTTTTACTACTACAACAAAGGGTTTTTATGAAATTTTCTAAGATTTTTTATTGAATTTCTATATAGAAATTTTGTATAGGGTTATTGTTATATTATGTGTATATTGTTTGAATAATTTCAATCGTGCAAAAAAATTAAAAAAATTAAAAAAATAAATAAAAACCGAAACAGATCTAATAAAGAGACATTGGACAAGTGTTTTATAAATCTTTATTCCACTGCGAAGTTTGATTAAGTTTTTGAAAATAGAATAATGTTTTGATAAATTTTTGTTGGTGGGAGAATATATATATTTTTATATATTTTTTCATTCACTACCCAGTACAACCACCAATGCTTTTGCCAAAAGTGTCTTCATGAGGACTCATACCAAATGGAATCATGTTCCATTCAATGTTCAAGAGGTCGAAAAAAAACCAATTTTGTATATTATATATGTATTGTAATAAAACGAAAGTTCTTTAAAAAAGAGGTTGATAATATGGGGTTGATCACATATTACAAAAGATGGAATCTCCAACGGGTCAGAGATATTCAGACTCAGTTACATATCTTAGAAAGCGCTTGCGCTTTGAGGTATTAAAGACAACAGTTATTTCGATAAGGGGGGGGGGACAGAGGGCCCAAGTTGCGACCTAAACCAGACAATATTGAAGATTTAGATTTAAATATTGAGCCCTTTGGCTAGAGAATACTTTCTTAAATATTTTTGACAGTTTTTAATATTGGTAATGTTAACGAATTGTAATTGATTGATATGTAATATTTAGGCCCGTGGCCAGTTTTCATCAATGTTCACATATTACGTAATCAGCCGAGGGGGAGGGGGTTTCCAAATAATTACGCTACTGTAATTTTAACACAAAAGCTATGTGTAAAACTTATTAAAAATTGTCCAAAATGTGATTACATAATATGTGAACGATCCCATGTTACAGAATTTAAATCCAAGCTTACTGCTCACATGTGTGAGAAAAGTTTGACGAGGAGCACTGATTCAGAATCGGATGCCTCTTTGGAGACAGATGTAAATCAATGAAACAAACCATATTCATTTGATTGACGTTGCTAGTTTCACTTTTTATTTGTAGACAAGGTAACGTGTATGTACCTTTTCTTTTCTGCGCACTCCCTCATCGAAGAGGATCCATACCTAATGTTTGGTAGCTGATGCATAATATTCAACTTTTAAACTGTCTCCATTCCACCTATACTAACTGCTAACATCGCACTTTCACAACTCAAATATTATATGATCTGATTGATAATTAATTTGATAGGTAATTATTTTGGTTATTTGTGGTGGTATATTTTAATTTTGGCTGGGCCCATGCTTGTACAGGAGTTGCATCTGCACTCGATATCTGTGTTTTGGTGATCCACAATTACAAGTCGTTTAATTACAGAAATTTTAAGTCTTTTGCGCATATAAAAATAGTTTGCAAATCTACATATACTTTCAGGATGCATTTTTTAATTTAATCCATTGTGTAATCGTATGTAATTGTTTGATTTGAAAGATTTCATTTTTTTTTTAAATAATAATAAATTGTAAATCACACTGCTTACAATTTGATTCTAACTTCCTCTTGCAGGCCCAGGTGTAGTATATTACCAACATGACAATGAACTCAATTGGGGACAAGGACTTTGAAGTTACACAGCAGGATGTTAAAAACTTTGTAAGTGTCTTTGATACACTCTCCAGTAGGCCTCAGCTCATTTTTGAAGACATAAAGTACTGTGTACTGGAAAATGAACCAGCACTACCTGAATTAGTTCATGATCTCTTAAAACGTCCACTCTTTGGAATTTCTGATATAAACACCTTCAATCCAGAAATAATAATCAGTGGAGAAGTTCTTTTGAGCAAAGGTCATCATCAAAAATTTGTTGCCGCTAGGACAGAATCGAATTTTATAGTATCAGTGTTTGACTCAGTGAGCAAAGAAATTCATTGTTTCTTATATGTGTGCTACGAAAAAGGACTATGCAAGGTTAAGATGAGGTCCAAGATATGGGAGAAACAGCCTGAAAACTCTTCCTTAAGTTTTAAGATCCAAAAAGTTGTTAAATGGTTGACTGCAGATGATTTTAAATTTAAAACTCCTCCTAATGCTGCTGTGTGTCCTAAACAATACTATCTGACATATAATCATCTAAAAGAAAAGTATGCCCAAGACATATTTGATGCTTGGGACATGCAAACAGATCCAAGTAAATTCATACATGAAGATATTGGTATAGCATCATATCTTATCTGTCTTTGGAAATCTCGATATGCAGATAATGCTCAAGACTATGTTAAATTTGTTGATATAGGTTGTGGAAATGGGCTTCTTGTTTACCTCCTAAATCAAGAGAAATTTAGTGGCATCGGTATAGATGTTAAATCCAGAAATATTTGGTATACATTGTTTTCTAATAGTAAATTGTGTGAGAAATTTTTTGACCCTCAGAGCTGGAATGAAATCTCGGATCACAACTGGCTAATAGGAAATCATTCAGATGAACTTACCCCTTGGTTGCCATATGTAGCATCAATGATTTCATACAACTGTGATTTCTTTGTCTTACCCTGCTGCACGTGGAATTTTACTGCCAAGTACTCTAGAACAAACGCTACTCTCTCCACATACCACTGTTATTTGACTTTGTAGAGTCAGTAATATCTGATTTTGGGTTCAAGTATCAACGAGATGTAATGAAAATCCCATCTACTAAACGAACTTGTTTTGTATCCGAAGGAAGATATTACACTGAAACTGATCATAAAATTAAACAGAAACTCATCCTTGATGTGGTCAGGGGGCATTCTGGCAATCAGAGTAATTTGAATTGTGTTGTAAGATCCAAAGACATTAAAATCAGGAACGGTTCCAAATTGGACAAGACACTGTGCTCTAGAATAGTTAACTTTACTGCTTCTTTACTGCTGCAAGATGTTAAGGGAGGAGAAAACCGCTTGGTCTGCAGGCAAATCTATTCATCTGAAAGAAATAATTTCTGCTATCAAACAAAACATTGACTTTGAAGAGGCTCTTAAAGACCAAAATGGAGGTATCCAAACTGTTTTTGAGAAATTTCCATCAGTTATTTACCATTAGAAATGGTATGGTTTCCCTGAGAGACTGGTCAAAGGAAACTAAAAAGTCCAGCTATCGGAAAACGCCCAACAGGAAATATGACAGCGCAGCTTTAAAGAAGTCGAAACGTGTTGGTTTTATGAACATCATCCCAAGGTTGTAATCTGTCTGCTTCTAGTTGTGGTTATGCTCATGGTCCTGGAGAACTTAATATTATCCCTTTTATTAAAAAAGTAGAATAGAAGAGTGTGTTCATATCATTTCCCTAGGAAGGTGTTATAATTCTTCCATAGATGGGATTTTACTTTTTGTTTTCGGTTTTCACATTATGTTTTGTTTTAAATTATTAAGTTACTGTAGAATTAAACAGCATTAGATTAATAATGATTCTTTAACAAGGTGTATATTCTGTGCTGATTCAACATTGAGCTCCTTATAAATGACCTTTTAGGTCACTAAAGTTTATAACTCCCATATGAATTAAGATATTTGTGCCCCAAATAGATCTGCTGCGATTACGTTCATGAAATGATTCAAAATGTTAACCTTCTGTATATAAACGAGCCAATAACTGAAATTCTAGTAACTAAGAAGTGCTATACTAATTTCATTTATTTTACCTCAACAACCATAAGGATTTCAGATGATATGGAATGTGGTTCTATATAACACTATGTGACACGATGTGGATTGGCCGCCATTTCGCAGTTCACGTAAGCTGGAAATTTCACATGAAACCAACAAACTCTAAGATCTTATGCAAAATTGGTATGCAGTATGTCCGCACTATTACTGTGGAGAAGTGCACTGATGTGCTGTAGCCGGATTACTTCTAGGTAGAAGATTCCCCTCTCTAATGCGGCTGAAGTATATTACGATGATAAAACAAGGACAGCTTCTATCTGCTCTACAGCCTGATTGTCACTTTGATTGAAAATGTTGACACCATATAGATCGTGGAGTATGATGGCTAGACACCCTGAAAATACTACGTCATTCCTCCCAGGATCATGTGGGACAAAGTACTATATGATCGGTACTCTCAGAAAGTGCTGTCATTTTGCCAAACCAAATCTGTACAAAAATAGTATCAAGATGTTCTCAAAGCCGAAAGTACTTCAATGTAATTACCCATAAAAGATGAAGGTCAACTCTGAGTAGCTATTAAAGGGTCCCCGATGAAAAAAGAAAGAACTCGATTTAGCGAAAGATCGTACAATAGCGTCTAACCATGAAAAGAAAAGACCAATTGTGTTGTGACACAGAAAATTATATATCATTCAATATATGAACTTAGGGTAATGTATACAATTAACACGCATTGTACTTTTGTAGTTTGGATTGATTTATTTAGGTAATAAAGCAGCCTATGCTAATTTTTACACACTATCTTGAAATTGATGGGGCAGGAAAAGTTAATTTTGTCACATTTTTAGTGACTTTGACAAATTTAGCCTAAAATTGCTAAACTTGAGCTCTGATGTTCTGGACAATATTCTACCAATCGTTTCTGAAAGAGTATTGAATTCTAATAGAGTTATAGATCTTCAAAATAGGGGCAAGACATGTTTACTTTGTCACATCAGTTATTATTACAGTTGGGTAATCGTCATCACATTAACATATATTTTTTTGTAGTTTGGATTGATTTATTTAGGTAATAAGGCAGCCTATGCTAATTTTTACACACTATCTTGAAATTGTTGGGGCAGGAAAAGTTAATTTTGTCACATTTTTAGTGACTTTGACAAATTTAACCTAAAATTGTTAAACTTGAGCTCTGATGTTCTGGACAATATTCTACCAATTTTTTCTGAAAGAATGTTGAATTCTAAAAGAGTTATAGAATATATAGATCTTCAAAATAGGGGCAAGACATGTTTACTTTGTCACATCAGTTATTATAAGAGTTATTATAAGAGACTATTTCATTATATAATCATTGTTTTTAACCTATTTACGATTTCGTATAATTTTTTGTGACAATGTAAACATCAACTGATCTTAACTTGCATCAACTACATTGTCATCATGTAAAGTTTTTCCACCTTTCAAACCAAAATCAGATATAAATAATTCGCCCAAAATTTTAAATTCCATATATTGTGACAGAATTAACCTCATTTCCCAATAACCAAGTGCCTGTAATAGCTATCTATTCAAAGCAACATATTTTAGGGCTATGATTGGTACTCCATACTTGGTAGATCAACCATCAAATAATGAGTAAAAAGGGTTTTGAGGACACCTCACAGTAGAATAGAGGTATGGTATTCTGAGTGTGACAAAGTTACCTAAATATTGCCTTGTAACCGTTCGATCCGTGCCCTTTAACCAATGCTGTATCATAATTGTTAGATTGACCTAATCTACTATGTTTCAGACCAAGGAATGATAATTAGACAACTGCAGTTAACTAAGTCACAAAAATGTGACATTTGAAACATTATAGTGCCTAACAACAATAGATTTTCTTTCTGAACAGTGCATATGGGAGTATGGGTTACGTGGCTAATGTTCAGAACTTCTGAACGTGCTAGGTTAATAGATGTCAAAATTAAGCCACTATCGTCAAAAACGCTATTATTTTTGTTTACCAATATCCTCAAACTCAAATGAACGTGTCCATATGTAGTGATTACATAATATGTGAACGATCCCATGTTACAGAATTTAAATCCAAGCTTACTGCTCACATGTGTGAGAAAAGTTTGACGAGGAGCACTGATTCAGAATCGGATGCCTCTTTGGAGACAGATGTAAATCAATGAAACAAACCATATTCATTTGATTGACGTTGCTAGTTTCACTTTTTATTTGTAGACAAGGTAACGTGTATGTACCTTTTCTTTTCTGCGCACTCCCTCATCAAAGAGGATCCATACCTAATGTTTGGTAGCTGATGCATAATATTCAACTTTTAAACTGTCTCCATTCCACCTATACTAACTGCTAACATCGCACTTTCACAACTCAAATATTATATGATCTGATTGATAATTAATTTGATTGGTAATTATTTTGGTTATTTGTGGTGGTATATTTTAATTTTGGCTGGGCCCATGCTTGTACAGGAGTTGCATCTGCACTCGATATCTGTGTTTTGGTGATCCACAATTACAAGTCGTTTAATTACAGAAATTTTAAGTCTTTTGCATATAAAAATAGTTTGCAAATCTACATATTATACTTTCAGGATGCATTTTTTAATTTAATCCATTGTGTAATCGTATGTAATTGTTTGATTTGAAAGATTTCATTTTTTTTTTTTATAATAATAAATTGTAAATCACACTGCTTACAATTTGATTCTAACTTCCTCTTGCAGGCCCAGGTGTAGTATATTACCAACATGACAATGAACTCAATTGGGGACAAGGACTTTGAAGTTACACAGCAGGATGTTAAAAACTTTGTAAGTGTCTTTGATACACTCTCCAGTAGGCCTCAGCTCATTTTTGAAGACATAAAGTACTGCGTACTGGAAAATGAACCAGCACTACCTGAATTAGTTCATGATCTCTTAAAACGTCCACTCTTTGGAATTTCTGATATAAACACCTTCAATCCAGAAATAATAATCAGTGGAGAAGTTCTTTTGAGCAAAGGTCATCATCAAAAATTTGTTGCCGCTAGGACAGAATCGAATTTTATAGTATCAGTGTTTGACTCAGTGAGCAAAGAAATTCATTGTTTCTTATATGTGTGCTACGAAAAAGGACTATGCAAGGTTAAGATGAGGTCCAAGATATGGGAGAAACAGCCTGAAAACTCTTCCTTAAGTTTTAAGATCCAAAAAGTTGTTAAATGGTTGACTGCAGATGATTTTAAATTTAAAACTCCTCCTAATGCTGCTGTGTGTCCTAAACAATACTATCTGACATATAATCATCTAAAAGAAAAGTATGCCCAAGACATATTTGATGCTTGGGACATGCAAACAGATCCAAGTAAATTCATACATGAAGATATTGGTATAGCATCATATCTTATCTGTCTTTGGAAATCTCGATATGCAGATAATGCTCAAGACTATGTTAAATTTGTTGATATAGGTTGTGGAAATGGGCTTCTTGTTTACCTCTTAAATCAAGAGAAATTTAGTGGCATCGGTATAGATGTTAAATCCAGAAATATTTGGTATACATTGTTTTCTAATAGTAAATTGTGTGAGAAATTTTTTGACCCTCAGAGCTGGAATGAAATCTCGGATCACAACTGGCTAATAGGAAATCATTCAGATGAACTTACCCCTTGGTTGCCATATGTAGCATCAATGATTTCATACAACTGTGATTTCTTTGTCTTACCCTGCTGCACGTGGAATTTTACTGCCAAGTACTCTAGAACAAATGCTACTCTCTCCACATACCACTGTTATTTGAACTTTGTAGAGTCAGTAATATCTGATTTTGGGTTCAAGTATCAACGAGATGTAATGAAAATCCCATCTACTAAACGAACTTGTTTTGTATCCGAAGGAAGATATTACACTGAAACTGATCATAAAATTAAACAGAAACTCATCCTTGATGTGGTCAGGGGGCATTCTGGCAATCAGAGTAATTTGAATTGTGTTGTAAGATCCAAAGACATTAAAATCAGGAACGGTTCCAAATTGGACAAGACACTGTGCTCTAGAATAGTTAACTTTACTGCTTCTTTACTGCTGCAAGATGTTAAGGGAGGAGAAACCGCTTGGTCTGCAGGCAAATCTATTCATCTGAAAGAAATAATTTCTGCTATCAAACAAAACATTGACTTTGAAGAGGCTCTTAAAGACCAAAATGGAGGTATCCAAACTGTTTTGAGAAATTTCCATCAGTTATTTACCATTAGAAATGGTATGGTTTCCCTGAGAGACTGGTCAAAGGAAACTAAAAAGTCCAGCTATCGGAAAACGCCCAACAGGAAATATGACAGCGCAGCTTTAAAGAAGTCGAAACTGTGTTGGTTTTATGAACATCATCCCCAAGGTTGTAATCTGTCTGCTTCTAGTTGTGGTTATGCTCATGGTCCTGGAGAACTTAATATTATCCCTTTTATTAAAAAGTAGAATAGAAGAGTGTGTTCATATCATTTCCCTAGGAAGGTGTTATAATTCTTCCATAGATGGGATTTTACTTTTTGTTTTCGGTTTTCACATTATGTTTTGTTTTAATTATTAAGTTACTGTAGAATTAAACAGCATTAGATTAATAATGATTCTTTAACAAGGTGTATATTCTGTGCTGATTCAACATTGATGCTCCTTATAAATGACTCTTTTAGGTCACTAAAGTTTATAACTCCCATATGAATTAAGATATTTGTGCCCCAAATAGATCTGCTGCGATACGTTCATGAAATGATTCAAAATGTTAACCTTCCGTATATAAACGAGCCAATAACTGAAATTCTAGTAACCTAGTAAGCTGCTAGTAACTGAAATCTTTCATTTATTTTTACCTCAACAACAACATAAGATTTCAGATGTAATGATGACGATGTGGTTGCTATGGTAACACTATGGTGACGATGTGGATTTATGCCGCACATTGTCGCAGTTCACACTGGAGCTGGAAACTGTTCACATGAAACAAACAAACTCCTAAAGATCTTATGCAAAAGTGTATGCAGTGAAGTGTCCGCACTATTAGCTGGTGGGAGAAGTGCTACTGATGCTGCTGTAGCCGGATCACTTCTATTAGAAGATTCCCCTCTCACTAATGCTGGCTTGGGAAGTTCTATTACAGATGATAAAAAGACAAGGACCGAGGCTTCTATCTGCTCGACAGTCTCCGGATTTCACTGTGCTGGTGATCTGGAAAATGTTAGACACCCTATAAAGATAGTGGAGATGATGGCTAGGGACACCCTGGAAAATACCTCACAGTACATTCCTCCCAGGATCATGGTGGGACAAAGTGCTATTGATCGGTACTCTCAGAAAGATGCTGTCATCTGCCAAACCAACATCTGTACAAAAAGAAGTATCAAGATGTTCTACAAAGCCGAAAAGTACTTCAATGGTAAATTACCCGCAAAAAGACGGAAGGTCGACCCTGAGGTAGCTATCAAAGATCCGGATGAAATAAAGAAAGAAGTCTCGTTTAGCGAAAGTAGTAAAATAGCATCTAACCATGAGAAAGAAGAAGGACCAGATGGTGTTGAGGACACAGTGGGAGTTGTATGTATTGATAGTACTGGTGATATCACCTGTGCAACTTCCTCAGGGGGCAGTGTTTACAAGTACAGCGGCAGACTTGGTAAGCTTTAATATTGCCCTGTACAATGATATATCTTTATAGGACAATTCTACTTGTACATCCCTAGCTTTTAAGTGGTGAAAGTTACTATACTTTACACTCGGTAATGAACAGTTTCCAATAAGCGGATAACTGAACACGTGTAGTTGTGTAAATAGTGGTGTAATACAGAGTGGTAATTAGTTTGTTCTAACTGGACATACAGTTATAGCTCTATAGTGAGTAGTAACAGTGTTCATGGTAGGTACCACTGCACTAGCCATCTCAACTAGTATTTATTCAAGGTGGCATGAACTTTCAATTACAATGTCAGTGGCTCGATTATTTGTTGAAGTATTTCTGGTATGTTCTCTTTCTGTGACTTTACCGATGGCAGAAGTACAAAATCAGTAGTCAAATATTAATGTGTATTTACCATTAATATAAGTTAAATATTAACGCGTGTTTACCATCAGGACAGTGCTGTACCCACGGTGCAGGGAGTTACACAACACCTTCCCTTGGTATCGTAACCACTGGCAACGGAGAGCAGATCATCAACAAGCTAATAGCAGTGACCGTGGCACACAAACTACCTTACTGCACGGACCCGCGCGCTGCGCTGGACGCGTGCTTCCAGCACAAGGAGAGTAGGATGTGTGGGTTTGTAGCAGTGGAGAAAGGTGAGGAGGGTGTGGCGACTGTGCACGTGCAACACACCCTGACTAATATGGTGGTGGGGTTTATGAGTGCGCAGATGGAGGCACCTGTTGTCAGAGTCGTCACTAGTGAGGCTCCTGTTTTTATAGAAACTGTCAGGATGTGAAATGAGGCCATCTGAGGATATATACCACTACCACCCGACCCTGTTTATTGACTTTCAGCTGTGTCGACCTGTTTTATTATTCATTTCAGTTGATATCTGCCTGTAAAATTGATTCCAATTGGTTTTATCTAGAATTAATATAATATTATGTTTTTAACAGATGATTTGATACTTAATTTATTGTTTTGATAACATAATGTCGTTATCTAAAAAAACTAATGATTCATCCATCACGTGTATTTCTAAAACTAATAATTGATAAACGAAATGTATAATTTGAGATAACATTACTTAATGTATTAGTAACTAGATAGTCTCTATATTAGATCAATATGCAGTAAAGCATGAAGTGTTCTCTCTGTTATCTAGTACTCCCACATATAAAATAACATCTGTTTATGAAAACATAGTTTTAACATTATACAGGCTCTACATTCCAAAGATAAAGGAAGTGAATCTTCTAGAATATAATATTATGTATGTATAATGTATATATGATGAGAGGGGTAACACTTTGTACTGAGGAAGGTACTTCCTTCTGAATATTATAAAATATGTGGATATCTACCACATGTATTAATACCTATTATATTCAGTAGCTAAGTAGTAACGATGCCACCAAACTGCTACCTGTATTCAGTAGCTAAGTAGTAACGATGCCACCAAACTGATACCTGTATTCAGTAGCTAAGTAGTAACGATGCCACCAAACTGATACCTGTATTCAGTAGTTAAGTAGTAACGATGCCACCAAACTAATACCTGTATTCAGTAGCTAAGTAGTAACGATGCCGCCAAACTAATACCTATATTCAGTAGCTAAGTAGTAACGATGCCACCAAACTAATACCTGTATTCAGTAGCTAAGTAGTAACGATGCCACCAAACTAATACCTGTATTCAGTAGCTAAGTAGTAACGATGCCACCAAACTAATACCTGTATTCAGTAGCTAAGTAGTAACGATGCCACCAAACTAATACCTATATTCAGTAGTTAAGTAGTAACGATGCCACCAAACTAATACCTGTATTCATTAGCTAAGTAGTAACGATGCCACCAAATTAAACTAATACCTATATTCAGTAGTTAAGTAGTAACGATGCCACCAAACTGATACCTATATTCAGTAGTTAAGTAGTAACGATGCCGCCAAACTAATACCTGTATTCAGTAGCTAAGTAGTAACGATGCCACCAATGACGTTACCAATAAACGTGACGAGCACGTCAAACAACATGGACACGCTGAGCAGGAACGAACTGGTGGGATTTATTAACGATACCCTCGCCCTTAACTACACCAAGGTGGAGCAGATGTGCTCAGGTAATTATAACATAATTATAACATAATTATAATATATATTGTATAATGTATATTGTATAACATGTACAGGCAAGGTCCCTAAGTTTGTACTCTTACTTGTTTTATTAATATTCTTTTAAATAATGTTTCAATTTAATGATTACATCCCCCCTCGATTTGATTGTTCTCCTGTAAATTTTACAAAACGGATCTCTTGCACAAATACATATAACACAAGTACATTAAATTAGTACATTACACAAACACATTACAAACGTACATTACATCAGTACATTACACAAATACATAACACAAGTCACAAGTACATTACACAAGTACATTACATCAGTACATTAGACACACCAAATGTAGAGAATATATTTAATATGTAAATGTACCATGGCCATTTGCTTTTAGAATTTAGTGGATAAAATAGACACCACGTGCGTCATTTCAGCATAAGATATTATCCTATCTAGTATCTAAAGCTTATAATTTTAATAACTACTAGTATAGCGTATTATAACTATTAATTAGTAATACTGCTAGCTTATGCTTATTATATACATAATACATGTTCGGTGTAGGGATCCAGCAGGAATCTTATATTATACTGCTTGATTAGTTTAGACGTCGCTCAACTTGTACTTGAGATATTACATTTTTTAACCGGTGAGCTGGATGATGTAACCATCCGCAAACATTAAGCAAAGATACTGGTTTAATTAACGTTGCTAGACAGTTGATTCTCAATAAAGTAAATCTATTTCCAATGCCTCGTTACCGTGGTTACTTCACCTGGTTACCTGGTTACCATGGTTACTTCACCTGGTTACCATGGTTACTTCACCTGGTTACCATGGTTACTTCACCTGGTTACCATGGTTAATTCACCTGGTTACCATGGTTACTTCACCTGGTTACCATGGTTACTTCATCTGGTTACCAATTACCATGGTTACTTCACCTGGTTACCATGGTTACTTCACCTGGTAACCATGGTTACTTCACCTGGTTACCATAGTTACTTCACCTGGTTACCATGGTTACTTCACCTGGTTACCATGGTTACTTCACCTGGTTACCATGGTTACTTCACCTGGTTACCATGGTTACTTCACCTGGTTACCATGGTTACTTCACCTGGTTACCATGGTTACTTCATCTGGTTACCATGGTTACTTCATCTGGTTACCATGGTTACTTCACCTGGTTACCATGGTTACTTCACCTGGTTACCATGGTTACTTCACCTGGTTACCAGGCCATGGTTACTTCACCTGGTTAGTGGTTACCATGGTTACTTCACCTGGTTACTATGGTTACTTCACCTGGTTACCATGGTTACTTCACCTGGTTACCATGGTTACTTCACCTGGTTACCATGGTTACTTTATCTCAGATCACGGAGGGAGATAAACGCAAATTAAGCTCGCTAATTCCAGAGCAAATGTTAAGGTTATTCTTATTAGGGTATATTGTGGAGCATAATAATAAGTGCTAACATCCCATTAGGTTTAATGGTTGTTTATAATTTAATGGTTATGTAAAAGATAAAATACTCATGAACTACTACTCATGGTCCGACAGGTACAAATATCAAAAGTTTCTACATTAGTTAACTTAAAACACCGTGTTAAACACAAGGTGGATCAGTGTTAAACACAAGGTGGATCAGTGTAGTGTAATACCTAGTGTGTTACCCTTGTTATCCTTGTACAGTGTTACTAAGCACTGTCCAGACTCCAGCTTAATGAATCTCTATAACTTTACTGGTACTGTAATACTCTCTAGACATTGGTATAATTCTCCCTCTAATACTGTGTTAGTGCTTCAGTCACTGTTAGAACGCTTTCTCAGCAGTAGTTTTCTTTTTCTCACATTACCTCACACATATTTAATACCTCAGTTTTTTGTTATGATCGAAAATAAAGTTAACTACATATGCGGAGTCTACAAACTAGTAGCATCTTGCACTGTTAAACTGTAAAACTCTAATAACGGTGACATAATAATCCCACCAACTCTCTAACTCACCGCCGCACCTGTACAAGTACATTATATTTTATGCACATAGCATTCCTGGATATGTGTTCAGTGTAAGGAATCTTATATTGTATAATCCCAATAATGCTGCTAGTTTATAACATACATGCGTTCAACAGATCTTACAAAACTGTTACAATATTACGTTAAGTGAGGAAATGTAAAGCTCTCTGTAGAGTGTAGCCTCTGTGTCTGGTATTATATTAAGATTCTACACAGATTCTACACAGTGTACAAAATAAGTAGAGGCAAATCCTTCCACTTAATGACCGATCAAATCCCGGAATAATTGTAACGTGTCAAAATAATATGCCCACCCCCCTCCTCACCTGTTACCATGGTTACAGCCCCCCTCCTCACCTGTTACCATGGTTACAGCCCCCTCCTCACCTTTTACCATGGTTACAGCCCCCTCCTCACCTGTTACCATGGTGACATCCCCCTCCCCCTCCTCACCTGTTACCATGGTTACAGCCCCCCCCCTCCTCACCTGTTACCATGGTTATAGCCCCCCTCCTCACCTGTTACCATGGTTACAGCCCCCCTCCTCACCTGTTACCATGGTTACATCCCCCTCCTCGCCTGTTACCATGGTTACAGCCCCCCCCCTCCTTACCTGTTACCATGGTTACAGCCCCCCTCCTCACCTGTTACCATGGTTATAGCCCCCCTCCTCACCTGTTACCATGGTTACAGCCCCCCTCCTCACCTGTTACCATGGTTACATCCCCCTCCTCGCCTGTTACCATGGTTACAGCCCCCCCCCTCCTTACCTGTTACCATGGTTACAGCCCCCCTCCTCACCTGTTACCATGGTTACATCCCCCTCCTCGCCTGTTACCATGGTTACATCCCCTCCTCACCTGTTACCATGGTTACATCCCCTCCTCACCTGTTACCATGGTTACAGCCCCCTCCTCACCTGTTACCATGGTGACATCCCCCTCCTCACCTGTTACCATGGTTACAGCCCCCTCCTCACCTGTTACCATGGTTACAGCCCCCTCCTCACCTGTTACCATGGTTACAGCCCCCTCCTCACCTGTTACCATGGTGACATCCCCCTCCTCACCTGTTACCATGGTTACAGCCCCCTCCTCACCTGTTACCATGGTTACAGGCCCCTCCCCCTCCTCACCTGTTACCATGGTTACAGCCCCCTCCTCACCTGTTACCATGGTTACAGCCCCCCCCCCCCCCCCCCCCCCAGCCCCCTCCTCACCTGTTACCTAATCCACATCTACAGTATAAAGTCATTACTGTACTGTAGCCTGTAGGGTAGATTTGGTAGATTTGGTATCATAGCAGCAGTGTATAATGTACGGTACAATTACACGTTAGCGTAGGGTGTAGTTGTTAGGAATTTCGTTTTGTGAAACCATGTGAAGTAGAACGCAACAGTTGAGATTTTGTAGTATAGGCTGTTGTCTTTAATTTTTTCATTTTTACCGTAATTGATAAATTTAAAATGAATTTTATGTGTAATTTACAAAAAAACTAAAGCTGAAATGTTGTTATTTTAAACGATTGACGTGGAACAGTTTCAATAATTGAGAAGGGGATTACTATATATAAATACGCTAATCTAACTGCGTATAAGTGAAGTTATATATGCAACTAGAGTATATAAATATGCAATAAGTTAAATATGCAATAAGTTGAATATGCAATAAGTCGAGCAGCTCCTACTTAATAACATTATATTATTCTATTTTTTATTTTATTCTATTCTATTTTTTATTCTATTCTATTCTATTCTATTCTATTCTATTCTATTCTATTCTATTCTATTCTATTCTATATATTCTTTATTATTTTATTATATTTTATTTTATTTTATTTTATTTCCCTTCTATTTTATTCTATTCTGTATTTCAATGAAATTGTTCAACATCAGGATCATGATGTCCAATGTGTATAACAGAATAGTATATAATATGCTACACTTCGTGTGTATAACAGAATAGTGACACACACTGAACAAATGTGTTTAGTGTACGTTAAATTATGTGTTATACTTGTGTAGTACACTAGTTTATACTACTTGTGTAGTGCACTAGTTTATACTACTTGTGTAGTGCACTAGTTTATACTACTTGTGTAGTGCACTAGTTTATACTACTTGTGTAGTGCACTAGTTTATACTACTTGTGTAGTGCACTAGTTTATACTACTTGTGTAGTACACTAGTTTATACTACTTGTGTAGTACACTAGTTTATACTACTTGTGTAGTACACTAGTTTATACTACTTGTGTAGTACACTAGTTTATACTACTTGTGTAGTACACTAGTTTATACTACTTGTGTAGTGCACTAGTTTATACTACTTGTGTAGTGCACTAGTTTATACTACTTGTGTAGTGCACTAGTTTATACTACTTGTGTAGTACACTAGTTTATACTACTTGTGTAGTACACTAGTTTATACTACTTGTGTAGTACACTAGTTTATACTACTTGTGTAGTACACTAGTTTATACTACTTGTGTAGTACACTAGTTTATACTACTTGTGTAGTACACTAGTTTATACTACTTGTGTAGTGCACTAGTTTATACTACTTGTGTAGTACACTAGTTTATACTACTTGTGTAGTACACTAGTTTATACTACTTGTACTGTTAGTACTATTTTAGCTCGTATTTGGAAGCCTCAGTGTAATTCACATTATTGATAATTAATGTACATGTGTAATGTGTACACTGTACAGCTAATATAAATAGATTGTACGTGATTCCCACGTGTTCATCTCTAAAATACAGTAGATTAAGGGGGCATACACCAAAACAGTGGTTTGTGCCGTCCAGACCAAATGACCTCATAGGCAGTTCAGTGACCTTCTAGCGCACCGTTTCCACACCCAAAAAAATTATTTTGAGAATTCCCTTTGAAGTTATGGGAGAAAATGTGATTTTTTATCTGCAAAGCCAAAAAATCACATTTTCTCCCATAACTTCAAAGGGAAGCATTTTAGGGTGTTTTGTTGTTCATAACTCATATATAAATGTGCTAGTTGCGGTTATTTTTCACCCTTCAAAAAGTCACTAGCACATTCCCATCAAAATTTTAGAAAAATCAGTAAATATTAAAAACGAAAAATGTGCCTAAATTTGTTGTTTGGCTTTGAGGTCCAATAGATCAGAAGGTGAATGAGTAAAAACATTTTTGAGGGCATCAAAAACTGCGCCAGAATTCAGAGAACAATTTGATGTCAAGCATCAAAAAATCCGATCTTCCCTGACTGACTTTTTGTTAAAATAAGCCTGAAAGGGACAATTTTAGCTTTTTGACTTTAAAAATTCATAACACACCAGCCTTTTTAGATACGATATCAAGATTTTACACACACCTTGAAAGAGATGTGAATAAACGGCGAGCAAAATTTCAACCCGATACCGCAAGAAATGATTAACTTATAGCGTCTCAACCACAAAATAATTTTTTCCGAAAATTGCACTCTTAACCAGGAAATGCTCGATTACAAAAATGGGTATTCCCAAAATAATTTTTTTTGGTGTGGAAACGGTGCGCTAGAAGGTCACTGAACTGCCTATGAGGTCATTTGGTCTGGACAGATTTGGTGTATGCCCCCTTAAAGTAGTTGAATATTTAAAAGCAAGTTTTGTGTTCAGAACTCGATTATATAAGTCAAACAGTAGTGTGACATTAATGTAACAGATGTGATATTAGTGTGACAGAAGTGTGACAGATGTGACATTAGTGTGACAGATGTGTGACATATGTGTGACAGATGTGTGACAGATGTGACATTAGTGTGACAGTTCTTATCAGTGTAAAGGTAATAAATCACAGATAATAATACACCCAGCACCCTACACTGTCGTATTTCTAACACAGTAGGATGGTCATGTTACGTGACTCATGTTACATGTAGATCATATTAATATTCAGTACTAAATTTACACTACAATAATACTACTGGTAATGTACGTTTACCCCATCTGTACATATTAGGTTGTAAATACTTTAATCTGAATAGCACTGGGAAAGATATTGGAAATCTGGGAGTAACTCCCAGATTTCCAATATCTTTCAAATGAAGAGACTACTACTTCAGACCCTACTTCATCTGTTGGCAGTTTGCCACTCTGCTTAATAATGACGAGAAGTAGGTGGTAGGTACTAAGTAGGTAGTATTACTACAGCACACTATAATGTGCACACCCAATGTCATGTGTGATTAGTGGTGTCATTGCCGCATCTACATCATGTTAATCTACATCCGCTAAATTCAATGGAGAAAGTTAAACGGAATAAGAGGCAAATTACTTATGAACTGATTAACCTCTTGATTACCTGTTGTATTTTGTTTTGTTGTGAGTAGCGACTCTAATCTGGTCCTCAGTTATCATAATTTACCCACTCAAGAGAGCGAAGAACGAAAAGTTGGATAAATTATAAAAATCATTCACATCCCTTCCCCTCGCTACACCAAATGTTATTATTCAATACTATAATCAGTGGAACAACAGTGTTAAATAAATTATTTAATGGGGTAAGATTCAATTAAAAACTATTTAATAATATAATGTAATGTAAGTGTTAAAACTAAAACCATTTTCAGGAGCAGCATACTGCCAGATGTTACATATGTTGTGGCCCAGTGAGTTATTTTACATTGTTTTTATCATAATTATAACAACTAAATAGTAAGTAAATACTAGTTATAGTGTTGTGAGACAGAGACAAAGTGTTGAGATTAGTGTTAGTATGCTCTCCATTGTTAGCTGCATTTATTTAACACACGGCCCCAATAAAACATGTTGTCAATTCATTTTACTTTTCATTATTAATATTATGTAATCTAAGTCTTATAGATGAAGTAAATAACTTGTTTAAGAAACAATGTTATTGCTTAATAAACAGTGAACATGTGTAGAACTAACGCCTTAAAATCATCCTCACAGAAGTGCTGAAACTTCATTCTGTCAGCACTGCTAGTGTACAAAATTAAACCATGTTACCAATTATTACATATTTATCTTCGAATTTGCAGAGAAATTATCGCGTTTATTCGCCAGATTGATAAACTGTAGCTAGCTGCTTTACATATCTGGACATGTCACAAGATTTTAGTTTTCGTAAGAATCAGCCTTAGAAAGAAATAACATACACATTTTAAATGTCAACCAAAAGTTATAAAATACTCGTGTGTGAAGGATGTAGCAATTATATTTGTATCTAACATTAACTTTACAACAACCAATAGGAAACTTGATTAGCCGACAATAATACCCATTTTGTAATTTCAGTACAAATAGAATATTCTAGAGCGCCCAATAAATTGTATATAATGTGTATATTGTGCGACAAAAGCCTGTTGACTGCTACATAGGAGGCGAGGAGCGAACCCAAACAAGTTCGCTACCGTGTTGTGATAAGTTGCTTAGTAACGTATACGTTAGTACGTTGAAATGTAATGATACTTTACATGTTGCTACACGCTACATTTTACACATTCCTATTGGTCCACACCGTTGAAATTACATGTAATATGATACGGAAATCATCCACCTTAATACTGAAGACATACAAGGAAGTGATGTCATTTCAATGCTGTAGCAGGGAAGAAGGGGCTTGTTATTCTCACCTGCTTCAACACTATTTCCACTTTATGACCTAGTTTCTATTGCGTAGTAGTTCACTCATCATCCGACAGATTAGCAGACCGCTTAGCCCTGCGGGAAGTCATTACCGCTCTTTTTTATTGCTAGTTTTGGACAGTTATGTAAATGGCGATGTAATTTCCTGGCGCGCATTAACGCGCGTTTTTCTCACAGTGGAAAATGTTGGCCATTTCGCAGATTTTATTTTTGCAGCGATAATCGCACTCCCTCGCGATTATCGCGCGATAATCGACTCCTTGTGCGATTATCGCCTCATTTTGCGATTATCGCGCGGTTATCGCCTCATTTTGCGATTATCGCCCCCCCTTGTGCGATAATCGCCTCATTATGCGATTATCGTGCGATTGTCGCCTCAATTTGCGATTATCGCAGTATATAACGAGAACCTAGCTGCCACATCTACAGATCTACTGGAGCCATTTCAGATTTTCAGTGGTAACATAAGTTTATAATTAAAGTTAAAAGATTAACAGCAGTCGAATATTTAGAGTTGACAAATTGACAAAATGCTGCGTTGACAAAATGGCTACGTCAAATGATCAAATAGTTACTCTATATGATTCAATTGTAAGCCCACATAATTTAATTTTGGTCAACGTTGATTAGCGGGTTTTCATCTTTAAGTTAATATATGATTCATCTCATGTTCGTTGACTAATTTACCTATTTCTAGCTAGAATCCAGAATTCTTCCAAAATATCGAGAGCTCAGATTAGACTGAGAGGGGACTTTTTGTTGTGACTTCCCTAGTCACCGCTTATTGTGCGGCCGGGCGCGTCATGCCCGAACCTCGACAGCCATCATCCCGAACCGTTTATATTATCTGACAGCCGCTTTCAAATGTGTTTAACTTAACGATTAGATTTATATTTTTAGAATACTTTTCCGTTAGGCTTATAGCATGTGATCACCTCTAGGGCTCAGGTTACCATTTTGACAGTTAATTCAATGCTCATAGTATGTCCTGGCCTTATCGTTTAACTTAGATCTGATTGCTTGTGACGAGATGATGTATTTCGTTTGTCTCTATCCATCCCGGTTACGAGGCCTATCGAGCTGGAACTGTTACTTAAGGGTGCCCCAGTGAGGCACACTTTATATATATAATAATGATAACATATACACTAATTTGATCCATCGGATATTAATATTCACGTCTAAGTATTACTGCTATGAGTATGACATAGTGTATTCCTGCTCGCATCAGAGTTATTTCCGATGTCATCCCAATTCAGTTATCTAAGGTCTAATTTTTACCGGAGAAATTGTCAGCTCAATCGTTATCTTCGATTCAAGTGATTCCTTGCGCTCAAAATTGTCCCGCACTCGTCAAATTACATCCTCTGAGAATTATGGCGAAGTGGACAAAATTGAATCACCCTCGCGCGGCGACAAAAACTTGCGTGATGCGCGGTTTCAGTCGCAGTCACTACTATAACGAAAAAATTTTAATGGCAAAACATAAGCGGCGTTTTACATAATATGTGGCGAATATCATTATTGATCAAGTAGAAAATATGAACAGAGGGTGAAGCATCACCAAATTAACAATCTTTCAATTTTAGGCATATAGCAGATTGTCCCAAACACTAAATCCATCATGATTGACCCATTTCAGTCACACAGCTTGGATTTCACTTTCAACAGGTATTTCCGTGTTGCTAGCTCGCACTTTTTCACAACTCGGTCTTCGTCATTACGAACATGGTCTGAAAATTTATGTTGCTTACATTTCTGTATTAAAGTGGTGGTCGTCCACATATTATGTACTCCCCCTCACCTTCGATGGTTAAGTAATATATGAACGACCCCTTACACACTACTATTCAACGTGTGGAAATCAAAATTTGATCTCAAACTCAATTAATTCTAAAAGCCCAAGTTATTTCTTACTTGTCATGTGTTCGTGATTCTTAAAAAGGGAGTGAGTACTCTCACCACCTTGCTCATTGAAAGATCCAGAAAACATCCCCCAGAGCTGTATCTGCTCCAAAAAGTGGTCTTCAAGGAGATGTATCTGGTGGAGGTGGTGTTGAAATGATGTTGCAATTTTAAGAGTTCGGTTGGGCCGGAGTTTCTTATAAATATGTCATGAAAATAACTTTCTTCCAGGCTATTTAGGGGTTGGAGACAACAGGTAAAGCTATAAGAGATAACAACAATACCTTCACCGATGTGGACTGACCAAACTTTCGGTACTCTGCCAAGAAGAGGTCCCTGGCCTTGACAAGAGTTTCGATCTCACGGGGACTCTTCACTTTCCCACTTTTGCCACCGAGAACTAAGAGATCTCTATACGAGGACTTAATGCGATCCAGTGCAAGGAGCCGTTGCTGAAAGTGCAGCTTGTCCTGTGGTCTTATCTTCCTGTCAACACAGAATCGGTCAGTCACAGAAGCTCGTTATCAATACAGAATTTTAGCCTTCAATCACAAGTAAAAAGTGGTAGTTATTTCACTATAAACGACAACCATTAGTAACATGAGTTAAATCGCACTGATCTCACAGAACTTACTCGTTTTTATAGAAGTGGTCTGTCCAAAATTGAGTGTGATTGGCTTTAACCAAATATCCTGCTCTCACGCCGGTCAGGGACACACCATGGTATGCCTCAGGAGTGACATTGATGCCCCTCAAATATTGCTCATACTTCGAGGAAAGGGGCCCACTGTTGCACTTCGAGGCCACACGGTTACCTAAAATGTACAGTGCCACACTTATTTTCTTCAACTCATTATATATCAGTTTGCAAAGCCTCCAATTTTTCAATAATGAAGTGATACATTCATCGATGAATCTACATTACCTTGTTCGATGCGCAGAATCATGGCTCCAAAGTCTGTCGTACTGCTGTAGCTGTTGGGAAGAAACCCGTCTGCCACATTGCAAGCGAGTACAAAGTCTATCTCCTCGCACAGTTTACCGTACTCTGTCCACAGAAAAGTCCCGACTTTGATGTTCTAAAGGAAGTATCAAGAGTCATGACAATCAGTCAAATAATTCTAGTACCTAGTTCTATTTGCCACATATCAGGAACAGCATGAGCGGTGTTCGAATAAAAAACTGTGAGCTTCGATCACTTACTATGTGCAAGAACGGAACAGCGACCCAGTTTATGAGATAATCAGAATCCTCCCCGAAACAGTCTGTGATGGGTCGTGAAGCAACATTCATAAACTGGGCTTGGGATCTCGGGTTACACTGAGTCATTCTGATGTGGAAAAACTCGATACTAACAGTTTACAGAAATGGTATACATCTATCGAAATACATACATGGTATACAATATACATCGAGATAAATGTTTGTACTTTGTGAAATGAAGGAGCTGCAATCAGCGAGTTAATGACTGGTATTATAAGTTTATAAGTACCTCATATTAGCATCAAAGTTCTGCATAATTCCCGCAAAAGTTCGGGGCTTGCAGAGAGCTCTCTGGCTTCTGGGTACTTGCATCAGGTCTTTATGTACCTCGCACAGTGGACAGGGGAACGTCCCATTGCTGCCCATACCCAGCATAGCCCACAGTGCCTTTGTGTCTGCACAGAGAATCATCTTCACATGTGCTCCACAGAAGACAAAGTTCTTGAGCTGTGGAAGAAATACCTTAAATATGACCTCCATGTTCCTGCGATGGTCCGGAGCTTCGGTGTACACCAGCATTGGGTGGGCATACGAGCTGTTACACGAAGGCTGGTTTAGCACATTGACTGCCACTTTAGTGGAGCTCGTGTCTGCGTCTACAAACAGCTTAACATGTATAGTTTTGTCAGTTCCCACATCTAACTGGCCTGGAATATATAGAATTCAGCTGGCTGTTAATGAACTATGTGATAAAAACCGCTAAAAGAACTGCCCACCTTGACCTATTTAAATCAAATTAATTTTTTGTAAACAGCTCTATAATCTCTAGAAATTTGAAATACCGGTATTCTTCAAGGTTATAAGTGTTTTGGTTAGCAGTTCCTGTCCATCACAGTAGGCTACTGGGGTACGTCTTGCTAACAGCTCACCACTTTTAGTTTCATTTTTATCATGTGCTGCAGCTTTATGGGAAAGAGAAACCATTGCACTCATATAGTTCACCTTAAAACATGAATGATGTTAATTTTTGATGTACAATATATTCTATATTTCAAAATCTGGGTTGTGCTATGCTATATGCTAGTACGCCATGACACCAAAATGATATATAATTGGTTTTGAGTTCAACTGAGCACTCACGGTGTATAATTCTTCCATTGACTTGATTTCCTTCTCTGATTCCATTTTTATATCATATTTTTTTAGCAGTGGCCGCAGGTTGTTTCGTACATTGGCTGTCCCCGTGTTAGCTAAAAATTGAGTCAGCATTTAATTTATTGCGATGAAATCTATTGCACACTAAGAATTAACTTTTCCACCCGCTAAGTTGTAATGATAATGACAATTTGTATCGTTCTTAACAACTTACATTCAGCTTTGAACATAGCAACATGAAGAGCATCAATTCGTTTCTTACAGTCAACGCCAGCCAACGCCTGTACATACTCCCGCTGCTCTTTAGAGAGTGATGTTAACTCCGCAGTTCGGATCCGTTTGGTCACTGATTCGATATCAGAGTCATTAGATTTTGAACAGCTTGACTCAGCCTGCAAATATTCATGTTGATTGAACTAAATTGCCTGTAGGGATTCGTTCAGTTTCAGTATGGCTATGATGGCAAACTGCGGAAGTGATATACAGTTTAACTTATTACCGATAACGTTTTTTCAAAAATTAATAATAAATTCAGTGTATTTACAAGTTTTATAGTTAAACTGAACCTCCCCAACGCTGTCGGAAAATCTCAGTCGCAGTGAGCTTCTTTTGAGAGGCCTTTTTTTTCCTCTCAGCAGCCATGCGGACTCTGGCTTCTATGACAGATTCGGGCCCCCAGTTGTCCGCACTGATTGTCCGCACTGATACTGAAATTAGAATGAGTGAGGCAGGGACAGGGAGGGAGGGCCAGGGAGGGAGGGCCAGGGAGGGAGAGCCAGGGAGGGAGGGCCAGGGAGGGAGAGCCAGGGAGGGAGAGCCAGGGAGGGAGGGCCAGGGAGGGAGAGCCAGGAGGGGGGTTCACTGCCTAATACCTGGATGCTGCTGAATTAATCCGTGATCGTGGTTGCACAGCACAGACTGGTGTACCGTGACTGGAACGGGACGGTCTGAAATAAATATGGTGTTAAGATTTCATCACAAATGATATAACGCATCGCCAATCTTCATAAGAGTCCTTTCTTATCAATAAAATAACTAGTTGACTTACCAAAACACCACATACATTAACTCATTTACTTTTATGGCTTAAAAATTTACCCTGGCCCATTTGAACTGACGGAGGGAGTTCGCGAGCGAGAGCGGATGGGGTCAGGGGTTCTGATCAGGATACTGCTGCAATATTTAGATGTGTTATATATCAGTTTTAAATTTGACTAAATATTGTTAGCCTGGGTACAAACATATTACATAACCCTGGCAATAACATTACAATGGAATTAAACTGCATACTAAATGACGATTTTCAACCATTTCAAAAACATTGGACACCGGGTCATATTTATTCTGCTATGCTACCTGACGGGTGCTGGGGTCGGAGAGGGTGCTTGGTGGAGGAGGAGATTGGTCCTCATCTCCGCAATTTCCGCCGCCTTTTCGTCCAGGACATGCCGCATGGCATTGGTCACACAATCCTGAATATCACTATTTTAACAGCTTTGTTTCAACAGGGATTCAGTGGATCTCATATCATGACAGATGAAATTTGATTGTTCATATGTGATACAGGTGCAGCTTACCTTGCAGTGCAATGCGTGCAGTGGATCTGTCTGGGTACCAGCAGCAGTAACTGGGGGATGATCCGATGCTGCTCTCTGCTTCACTGCTGCCCCCTTCCTCTTGCATTTCTTGTCAACAGCATATTTCTTATATCGTAGCTGGACCTCCCTCACCCAATCAGAGTGTACGCCACTTTCTGAAATGTATTCATCTCCTTAATGATTAAAGAACGATTTTTACAAAAGATATATCGATCAGAGTTGTCATTTGTTAAGCCATGATGTTTTGCGAGAACTTCTCTAGTTCCTAATAAGAAGTGAGGCAATGGCAAGTGATAAAAACTTATTTACCCTCGATATGGCAGAAACGTGCCACAGCTCGTTTTATTTCGGGAACCGCTTCGAGAGTAGGGAACCTGGCTCTCATGTGCCTGAAGAGTAAAATTTGGGGGGGGGGGGGCCAACCATATTAAAGTATATTAAAGTATATCCCCGGGTCAAAATCGGAAAAAATCCTACATTTTAATATACTTTAATATACCTACAATTAGAAGATTTATATAATTTCACTTACAACTCGTGCAGATTGCAGGTCGAGTCAGCAAAAATGTAGGTAAGAGGAAACAAACAAGTTCGATGTATAATAACTTACAACCAACATCTCCTGCGGAAGCCATCGGAACCAAGTGGTCTTAACTGTCGTGTTACAGTTAACCCTGCGAACATTTCTGTCCTGCTTCCACTCATGTTCTCACTAATGTGATAATCGATATGAACGTGCTTAATTTCGTTCTTTATAACAACAAATGCAATCATTTAATTCGATCGAGCTGTCAAGCAGATTACGGTATTAGGTGAATAGTGTGGCCATTGGTAACGACAATAGACAAGTCACTTGGTGACATGATACCGATTACCGCACGTGTGTAAGTTGTAACATCTTATACACTCTTACAGAGATATATCTATATTCGATCCAAGCACTCTCACTTTTGAAAACTGAAGTCGAAGAAAATATTCTGATCCAGGTCACACTAAGAGGTACAAATCATAACAAGTAAAGTTGGCTGGTAACTAAGCGCTAAGTGAGCGCCCTAGTAGCGCTCGATTCATAATTTGATTTTCGTATAGTTCAAATCCAACAAAAGTGCGCGGCTCACCGCGCGTGTCAAACTTGAAATGCAGTAATGAACTCCGTGTACTATTTGAATATAATATTGATATAATTGCCATCGGCAGACAGAATGAACAATATGTATTGATTCAGATTCTTATTCATGTATAAGATTTATTTCCATAACGGAATTATGAGATAATTTTCGAATTACAAATTGAATAGAAGTTTATGTTTATGGTTTCGGGTTTGTCGTAGGGGCCCAGGGGTCATTCGTAAATAGCGTTTGCGTCCGTTAAACAGGGGGAAGAGGAATGAAATTGGAAATATGAAATGTTGATGCTTGTGTTTACTTTCGCCTTTGAAGGTTATAGTTTGATTGTAAAATGTAATTGTGAGGCCAGGGTCAAACTCAAAATGAAAATGCAGGATCCGCTGCGCGCGGCGTCAGGCACAAGGTTTAATATATATATATCAAATATAATATTTTTTATTGCTGTTCAACCATAATTTTGATTCAGTGCAGTGTTGAATGTTGATGCAGTATATGACTCACAGTATGTCAAAATTAACTCATCATTTCACTATTGCATTATCATCGCAGATTTTAGCGATTATCACTATTTAATGGCGATTATCGTGCATTTAGCGATAATCGCCAATGTTAGGCGATAATCGTGCGCAATAATCGCATGTTAGGCGATAAACACGCGATAATCGCATATTGGGCGATAAACACGCGATAATTGCATTATCGCTTTTATGCAAGAATAAAATCCAGATATTTTCCACTGTGGGTTGCACGCATAATTGCGGCTCATGCAATAGTCAATACCAAACCCGCCAGAAGGTTGTCGATGGTATCATACCTCTCCAGAAGGTTCGATATTTTCGCGACAGTCTCTTATCTCTAGCATTATTGCCTCTTCGACACATGAACAAGGCTTTGGAGCCTGGTGATCTCAGAGGGTCTTCTTAGTGGATGGTTGTTAAGAATTCCTCTTCAACCTGCGCGCTTTCCTTCTAGCCGTAGAGATAGAGTGCAGAGTACTTTTGCAGATCGGTGTAACTGTCAACTCTGTGTGAGATACTTATTATTATCAAACATGTCAATCTTACAAATGTCAACAATCCTAAAATAATTTAGAACCTGAACGTGATCCTTTGTAAGATTATATGTCCCAAAAGTCAAACTGACTTGTACTCAAGTATAAAATCGAATAATTTACTCCAATAACCACGGTTACTAGCAAGTTCTCTCAAATGAAGAATATCATCATACGACTCCAGCAGGATGAAACGCTTCCAGAGGTCAACCTTCAGGTGGTGTAGGAGGTTACGTCTGTGAGCCCCGAGTCTACCAACTTCACTACACATCTCGACAGCAAAGGACAGAGCAGCTTGAGCTGGTGATCTTTCATCACTCCTCAGTATGTGTCCTAGCATCTTCCACCTAGATAACTCTGCACGCTCGGACATAGGGGTAGAGTTACTCTGTTTGTAGAGGGTATCTTTGGACATCATACTGCGTGGCCAGCTGACATTCATGATCTTTCTGAGGTGGTTACGGTGACATGCATCTAGTTTGTCCCAGTACGATTTAGGCATTCCCCAGCAACTAGAGTTATACATGAGGATAGATACTACTTGGGCCTCATAGACCTTCAGCTTCTTCTGTAAGGGGATCTTACTCTCGCACCAGACCTTCTTGAAGTTCTGGAATGCTACATTGGCTAACATGATTCTTCTGGTGACATCTTTCCTACTTTCTAGCAGAGAACCCAACAACTTGCTACTGCACCATTCTTCATTCATTCTAAGGGGTTTACCATCATCCATGACCTCATCTTTCCCAGCTATGTAGACGTGTACAAACTCTGTCTTTGATTCATTAATATTCAGATTCCACTCTTTGAACACCTTAGTAGCGATAGGGAGGAGGGCTTCTAGAGTATCTTTGTCTTCACCAAGATAGTCGATGTCATCAGAGTAGGCATCTTCTTCAGGCATGCCGCTAGGGTTAATAGGAGGGGTTGGGCGCAGCGTCACGGCACGCAGGTGGTAGCAGGCACCAGCTAGAGTGATTGTGAAACAGAGGCCTGAAACACTATCACCTTGGGGTCCTCCGTTGGTGCTGATGAATTCAAGGGAGGTAGCGTTGTTGACTCGCACCTTGATCTTGGTGTTGCTCAGGAGGAATCTCACTAGTCTGATCTCATCTCTTGTGCACCCTGCGTCCTCTAGGAGGTTGAGCACAGTCTGCCTACTGATAGTATCGAAGGCACTGGACATGTCTAGGCCCATCTTGTGGAAAGACCACTCTCTTTCTTTTACGATGCTGATCAACATACGGTGACACCATACCAGGTCTCCACAGCTTCTCTTCTGCTTGTAGGCAGCTTGCCATGGACCTGTGTAAGCGTCTACCTTTGCTTCAATTCTCCTGAGTGTAATGAGGGATAGCAGCTTACGAGCACAGTTACATAATGTCAGGGGTCTGAGGCTTTTCAGTTCACCAGGAGTCTTGCCAGGCTTTTGAAGAGGGGTGATGAAACATTCTCCAACAGCGTCAAGGAACAGGTTCTCTTCAAAGCAGGTGTTGATGATTTTGGCGTAATGGACACATAGCGCACTCCCACCATACTTGAGGAGCTCATTGGGGGTATTGTCAGGTCCATTGGCTTTGCCGTTCTTGAGGCGTTTAGCAGCGGTTTTTACCTCATATTCTGTGATAGGGCAGTCGAGGGGAGAAGGGGGACCTTCAAACGGATCAAGGGCAGGTTCATCTCCAGTCAGCTGTTCTTCATACCAATCACGGAGTACTTCAGCTTTAGCGAGGTCTGTACCAATGGGGTACCCATCCTTATTGTGGACAACTATAGGCTTTGTCTCTTTGGTCTTAGCTAAGGATCTCACAGCTTCGAACATTTGACGCGTGTCGTCAGTTGATGAAATTTCTTCAGCTAACTGGTCAGCCTTAGCACACTCTAGCTCCTTCAGTCTCTTTTTGATGTCTTTACCGAGCTTATTTCTCCGTCCTCGCAGTACAGAGCTATCACAGGGCTTGTTGGTGCTTGCCAGGGCAAGGCGTATATCGTGTCGTTCTGCGACTAGGGCAACAACAGTAGGGTCATTAGAGAAGAAGCACTTATTCTTAGCCTTCCTGTAGCCTAGGGTCTCAGCAGCTGACTTATGAACTTCACCCAGTACTACTGCAAAGTCCTTGTTGGGATCACCTGAGGGTATTACAGTAGAAAGTCTACTGGCAATGTCATGTTCATACGCTCGTTTACAATCGGGGTCTGATGTGAGCCTGCGAGTGTCAAACATTTTAGGACGTTTAGGAGCTTTAGCGTAGAACAGGGGGCGTTTAGTCAATTCAATCGTACATATTACAAGCCTATGGTCAGAACTGAAAACCATACCATTGTGCGACCTAGCATCTCTGAGCAGACATTTACTTCTTCTTTTACAAAGAATGTAATCTATCTGAGTAAACACTTTACGCTTTTTACCAGACTGACCTTTGACATTAACCAAACCCTCGTAAGTGGTCCGATGACTCGCACGGTGAAGGAAGGCAGTATTAGCAGCAAACAAGTCGTTTCTACACATGAAGTTGAGAAGGTAGTGACCGTTGTGATTCCTTTTACCCATACCGTGCCTGCCGACATAATCTGACACACCATTTACATAGTCTGAGTCATCAAGCTTACCAACCTACCGTTGAAATCTCCCATCACAAACAACTCGTATCTTGAAGGAACGACAATAGCTGAACTGACTTGCTTGTACACTTTCCTGACAATTTCTGGTCTGAGTTCTGATTTGGTGTTGGTGGGGCAGTACACATTGACGGCTCTAAACATGACGGGATCACCGTGCTTTACAGGCAATCTGAAATCTATCCACGCAACACGATCACTGACACGATGATATTGAACAATGTACGGTACTAGCCGCTTTGATACCACAAACCCCAGTCCTGCATAAGAGGCATCCTTTTGTTCAATGATAATCAACTTATTGCCACAGGGTAACATTGCTTCAGATGGCTGAGTGATCTTAGTTTCTTGAAGGGCTATAATGTCTAATTTATATTGAGTACAGTCACGTCCTAAAATATGTTGGTCTACTTCTTTGCTCAGCCCACGAACATTGAATGTTGCAAGGGCTAGAATGAGTGAGAGAGGGATCAACTTAGGGACGATGAGTAGAGGGTTAGATGCTGCAGCAGGGGTAATCTGTGTCTCCCTGCTTCTGCTGATGTGCCTGACGTCATCACTGGTCATTCCACCTAAAAGAGATACTGAGATAGGTTTTTTAAAAAGGTTAAAAGAATGTTCTATTCTTGGTTCAATACTAAGATCACGAGTTCCATCCCAATTTGTTGGAATGTTGAGAGAAAATCTGCCAAGGGTTTGAGGGTTTCGTTCGTGTGGAATGTTCACCGTATGGCTTGTTGTTAGATGAAATTGTTCCCAGAGATTAGTTGCACTGAAAAGAACACGCCTTATTATATTGTATTCTTCAGAGAATGTGCCGATCAAGAAAGTGAAGTTTACCGCAAAGTTGGAAACTGCCTGGATTGACAACTGGAAAGTACTTCAGGAAACCTTCAAAAAACTCCAGATCGAAAAGGTTTTGACAAAACACATCTGTTTTAACTTGGTACATAGGAAACTGTGAAGTGTGAAACACAATGGCTACCTAAACACCCCCTCACTCACAACAACTAATTTCAGGACGTCCCAATACAGAGGCTGGTTAAGGGTCGATTCCAAGACAACTTCGAGTTTCTGCAGTGGTTCTACAAGTTCTTCACGATAAACGACGACGGATCAGCTGCGTCCAGCTACGACGCAGTGGCAGTGAGAGGGGGACCGGCTGGTGGAGCCCATGCTGCTTCTCGTTCTCCAGTTAAACGGCCTCCAAGTAAGTACTCTGCAGCTACTACTGTGTTCAATGATTGTGTAATAACTATGTACTGACTACTGATCGCATTTCAATGCTGCAGATCACTGACATGATCACGATCTAACACTGTAATTTGAGTTGGGCGGTATTCACGTGCTTGGCATTTATCTCAATCCTCATCATAGCACTGTAATAGGGGTCATTACGATTAGGATTGTTTTTGGTCTATTATCTATGAGATATAAGTAAGCCATTTTCCCTCAGTCAAAAAGGCTGCTCCAGCTCCATTATCAAACGTAAAGCGGTCAGGATCAAATCAAAACAACGCTGAGGTGAAGCGACTACAGGGGGAGGTGACCGATCTTAACACAGCTATCGAGGGACTGGAAAAAGAGCGAGATTTCTACTTCTCAAAACTTAGGGATATTGAGGTACAACACTTTAAGTTATAGTGCAAAGATTTAGAATTGGCGGTTTTTTAGAAATTAGTAATAAGTTCAGCCAATAAAAATACACGTCAAAATCAATCCAATCATTACTGGACCACTTTTAATCGATTCTAGTACAGTCAAAAATACGTTCAGTAATAGAATGGAAATACTATTATGATCAGAAATCTCAACTGTATTCGAAATCGTCCCACTATAATCATTCATTGAATATTTAATTTTCGCTCGAAGAAGCCACTTCTTACGACCACACATCCCAAGTGTCTCTCAAGTGACTGTCAACAGATTACCAAGTCGATGTTTTGGTCAGGACACTCGTATAATATATAAATTATTAATCAGGATTGTTATGTTAACTTTAGTGACAGCTAATTCTGACGTCTTCTCTCCCAGGTGGTGTGTCAAGAGAAGGAAGGAGACGACGCTTACGCTAAGTTTGTAGCAGATATAATCGAGATCCTGTACGCAACAGAAGAAGGGTTCGGACCCGCAGAGGACGGGGGTGTGGAGGCTGAACTGGAGGGTGAACCGGAGATAGATGACGAGGAGGCGGAGGAGCAGGAGGAATATTAGGGAGACTTTGGTGAAGGAGCAAGGGGAATTATAATCCACCGTGACCCCTGGAGAGTTTAAGTTTTTGTTTTGCACCAAAAGTGAGAGGGAGTTGTTATATGATACTTTTAGGGGTACGGCCTTTAAACGATATTGTCTTTACTGGACACCGTCTTGAATTGGTGATGTCTTTACTATGCACGTCCTTGAAAAAGGTATTTCATTCGCCAAGTTTCTGGTTCAATTTTCTCTATTGCGACTCGTATAGATGCGAGTTTGTCTGCTATTTGTTTAAAACTTTTATAAAAAGTATGTTGGTTTTTTATTGATATTACTGCGATCATCTTTATACGTATATGACGATTAATATTTGAAATTATATAGCGCCAAAATGTTGATATTCAATTGCCACAATACAATTTATCATCGTTAACTTCTATTCAGATATGTATTTCTGTGTTAAGGGTCGTTCGCTTATTACGTCATCAACTTGTTGGCATAACTTCGTAATCAAGACCCGAAAATTTTCTGAGTCAGAAATTTTCCTAGAAACCACTTTTCTCCACAGTTCATGCTACCCTCATCGTCCAAAGCCAAAAATTGGGTATAGAGTGGACCATTGCCAGTGTCTCCCCAAACAAAAGGAATCAATATCAATATATAGCATTTGGACACGAATAGAATGGAACTGGAAGCACACAAAGGTCATATCAGCTCTTATGGGTAATTGTATTGCGCGAGTGATTTTCAACTGCGCCTTGAAATCCAGCCTAAAAATCTTCTATAAAATTTTGTTGAGGAATCACCCTGTGAAACTTTCATAATAAGTCCTAGGGACTATTTTGTAAGGATATTTATAAGGATGAGACAGACTGCAGGCAGAATTTTGAAATCAGAGATAGGCTTTTGAAAATATTGGACCTCGTTTTTTGATTTTTTAGGACGCGCGCAGAGTAGGACTCGTCGACGGTCTTGAAATATTCGAAACAAATATTTTACGAGTATCACCCGTTAACGTCACTATCAATTATATATAATATACATAGTATACAATATTATATAGCGAGCCCATGTCGATCTATCACACTTCAATTTCAAATAATGACGGCTTTCACTAATTCGCTCGCCTTAAAATTATAATCACGTTGTTAATGTCATGGTTTTGCAGTCGAACAATCAACAAAACGGTTTTTACAAAAACCCTATTATCCTAACCATCACCCCGAATTAAGTTGACGGATGATACTCGTCTGAATTTCTTCGAGGCAAGCTGCAATTGTAGCGCAATGCGTTTACTGCCACTGGGTCGCGCCGCGTATCCGATAATGCTTCTCGCAACCACTTCGTTGTTCGTTAGATCGGCGAGATTAGATGCGCTACTGGGTCTCGCTGATATGCGAAGAATTGACATCTGACATCGTCAATTAACGCCATACTGGCTGGCGACATGACGTATAAAAGGAAGTAGGAGAATATGCGAGTTGTGTCTTGGCTCTCATGTGCTGCTCTGGGAATCGGCTTCTCGTTCAGAATACAGGGATCTAAAAGTAAACTTACAAAGTAATTAGTGTCAAAGAGTTGAAATAAATGGGACTTTTTTGTTAATTCTGCCTAAATTTCCGGACGTCCGTTTTTTCAGAAACCAGCCCCTCCGGATTTGTCCGAAATTCCTAAACCATCCCCTCCCTTAATTTGCCGGACGTCCTAAGTAGATGGCCCTTTAATCTTATCTTTTCGGCCGCCGCTAAAACATAAAACTAAAAGAGGTACGAATACAAAATACAGCGAGTGTCAAAAGTGATTCGAAATCAGCGTCCAAAAATATACCGATCTAGATTACTTACATAGACTTAGTATAGAGCATATGGGTTATAGGGTTGTTCATATATTACGTAATCAGCCGAGGGGGGTTCCAAATGCTTACGGTTACTGGGCGTAGCTCAGCCTGTCATTCCGCCGAATCTTATGGACATAAAAGCCTGGGGTCCCCAGGTAAGCTTACGGTTGATTATTATTACGGGGGGGGGGGGGTGGGTTTGGTCGTTGATTACGTAATCACAATTTTCTTTTTTACCCTCTATATAGAATAATGACAATTTGACAATATTTTAATTTGTATTCCACTCAATTTCACTTTGTTAATGATATTGATACAATTTAGAAATTGATCGAGTATCTGGCTATAATGGTAAGTATGAAGTAATTTAAAAGGTGCTTGGCCGGATATCATAACAATGATTTCGGCTCATCGCGATAGCGTGTTTGATGTTGATTGACGATGTCAATTCAGGCCAAGATTATTACATAATATTACTGTCAGGAGGGGGGCCGGGGGGTTCTAGCTTGTAGCGCGATGCCGATGCACTACTGGGCCGCGCATATTCTCGCAACCACTACTAAATCATTACTGGGCCGCGCTCAGCCTGTCATTCCGCCAAATCTTTATCTTGTTTATGAACATAATAGCCTGGGGTCCCCAGGTAACTAAATCACTCTACAGTCGATCTTCGAGATTATTCGAAACCAACTTGAATCGATGCATTTTCGTAGGTAGTGCGCCATCGACAGTGAGCCGCGCGTGCCGACTGTAGGATGGTTTTTTAGCGCTAATTTCGGCCAGCACAATTTTCTTCAAACAAATAGATATTAAGTATCCTTCCCGACCTCCGATTGCAACAAGGAAGGTGTCCGAAAAGTTTAAAGCCTATCCAACCATCAGACATTATGTTACAGCTAAAAGCATCGTATTTTGCCCCATTTTGATCACTATATCAACTCCGATATCCACCAAATTTTTCGGACAGTTGTGAAAGCCCTATTGGAAGGTCGTCGCCAATTTTCAGAATGATCTCGTTCAAGGAACTGAAGATATATCCAAATAATACGACAAAAATTTGGAGGACTTCGCCGCTTCGACGCGCCGCGCGAACTAGCATTCTTGCTTCGCAGAGCAACGATCTCGATGGGTTGACATCGTCAACCAAGACAAAAATCAACGAATTTGGTCAAATTTGGTCAAATTACGCAACTTTTACAGCTAATTTTACTCTAAAAGCCGCGCACCATCAAATATGGCACCTACGGTCGCGCTAAATCACTCTACAGTCGATTTTCTTATTTCATCACTTTTAGTTTCGCATTGGATAAAGCACATGTTATATCCGCGCGTTACGTGTGATCATATTTAATCCTGATTTCCCAATTACGTTTCTACTACATGCAGCTTTATACTTTGGATTTCAAACTTCGAGTTTTCGTCAACAGTCAATAATTATCCATGATTCATCTACATCAGTGCCACTTGTGTTATACCTTATATGTAGTTATGAGTTATAATCCTATAAGTTTAATGAGTAGCTGTTAAAAATGTTGATCCTCATTTGCTCGCAGGTGTACTGACATATGCTATAGGTACAATTAATAGAATTGTTTGCTGGATTAAAATGCTGAGATTTTAATATAAAGCAAAACTAAGTATCATTAGACTAGTTTAGGTTAAGCCTGATTGTTTGAGTCCTACTTAAACATATTTTTGATATCGTGTCCATTAGTCAATGATCAATCAGATGTTATATGTTATAACATTACGAACTTATTATATCCAGTATCCACGTTTGCGCTAATTGTGTGATCCTAGAATTGCAAATTTTACATTCGTTTTAATGGTTAGGTGTTTCTTTTATATACGAAGAGCATCTATTGTTGTTCCTTAAGCCGGCTGACCCAGCTATTGTAAGCGTTTACGGTATAAAATGCTGCTCACTTTAGAATCACTAAGCTTCTTATTTGAATCCTTAATTTCTGACATCATAATTCCTAAATCTAGGCTGCAAAAAATGATAGGTTTTCGGATTGTGACCTGAGCAGTGAGCAGCCGAAACTGACATTATTGTTATATTTATAATATACTTATACCGTGTAGTTTATAGAGTATAAATTTATTGTATAACTTGATTTTATTTCTATAGAAGTTTTTCGACCAGTTAATTTAGTAAACTAACATAATGTACGTCTGCAGTTCCGACTGCAATTCGAACTATTCTGTAGCATGTAGGAATCCATATATTTTTTGGTCAATATATTAATATGATGTTTGGTTCATTTGAACTTTGCCTTCTAGAATCTAGTGTGAATATTATATTATAGATATTTACAGCAAATATTTTAATTATCAGGTTCAGCAGCATTATGTAAAATATGGGAAAATTCGATCAATAACCGCCAAATATTAGGTACGCGTACTTATACATGTGTTCAGCTGTGATTCAATAATATAATTAAACAACAAGTTAACTTAAGAGTTGCAATTTAATTGATAAACAATATCATGCGATAGATTATTACAAAACTTCGAAGGCTTTTAACTTGAATAATAATATCATTTTTAAAGCAAGGTTTTTAATTGAAGGCAAGCATATCGGTTTTTACTGATTTAAGAGGATTTTTGTTCTTAGTTTCTATGATATTTTACTGTACATATTTTTACCTCCTTCACCCTCCTAGCTGCATCAAGACTGATTCTTCATCCTCACACTTACACGCCCTCAATTATTGTCACCACCTGGCACTTTATCATATATATATATGATTTATATATATATAAATCACGTCTTCGCCCCATCATCCCCAATTAAAGACGATTACATATGAATATTGTATAATTCTGCTAAATAAAACATGTCGTATTACTTATATAAGGTTTAAACCAACTGATCCCGGTTCTAGGTTATCATTTATCTCAAATTTTGCTGCTTTTCAAAAGTTCAAAGAATCTTTTAATAAGCTTGAACCTCCCATAATATCTCTGGACAATATAATGTATGTGTCCGCTGAACGAATCAATTCTCTCTCAAATTATATGTGTTCACTGTTCACTCTTTATTAACAATTAGTTCCTACTATCAGCTAATTTAATTTAATTACTATTATTTGTTTTAATTGACTATGAAAACCTTCCCCATGGGGAAGGTTTTCATTGATGGTTATATGGCAGATAATGTGTGAGAGTTTTGGAGAAATTCTATGTGCCAAACTTGAGATATGACTTCAAACACAAGAAAATATCTCCAAATTGGCGGTCTCGGCGGAACACAGGAATATATTTCAAGATCTGACTGATAGATTTTCTTTAAACTTTCCAGATAATTACATGGCTATATGACGGATAATGTGTACGAGTTTGGGAGAATTTCTATGTGCCAAACTTGAGATATGACTTCAAACACAAGAAAATATCTCCAAATTGGCGGTTTCTAACGGACCACAGGCATATATTTCGAGATCTAACTGATAGATTTTCATTAAACTTTCCAGATAGTTACATGGCTATAAGACGGATAATCCGTGCGAGTTTGGGCAAATTTCTATGTGCCAAACTTAAGATATGACTTCAAACACGACAAAACTGTACCATAATATGGATTGGTCGAAAATCGAGTG